TGTGGTGGAGAGCAGAGACCAAGCTGCCATTCTGGATCAAGTCTGAGGCACAGACTCCACAGCATGGGATAAGATTGCACTTCCATGCCCCATGCAGTACCCATTCTGTAGGTTTACCATTTCAGTTTTCAGGACTTTCACTTTAACGCCTTTGAAGATACCAAAATTCTTCCTTCTCTTTCAGGTCTTTTAAAGTTTGTGTTTGACTTTCCCTAATACAGGCAGAACACGAAGACTAAGCAATAAACTAAGAACTCTCCCTCATCTTCCTGGATGAGCAGAGCTTATAGCTCAAACAGCAGCATGCAAAAACATTATAATCCAGGCAACAGCATCAGAACCCGCTGGTAATCACAGCCATCACTGCCATGCACCAAAAGACTGGAAAAAGACCTCCTCTTGTTTGTTTTCAAGATGACAAAAGAATCAGTGTTACTGTTCAGAGACTAAAGTGTGTTTGTCTGACTTTGTATTAGCAGCAATAGTCACTTGGCAAATTAGAAACACATTCCCTTCATCAGTTTTAAATCAGCAGGCAGGTGAAGAGTTTGACTGTTAGGTTAGTTGAGATCTCCTCTTGATTTGCTGTGAGGACAGTAAGATAGCTGTTTCAGTTATTAATAATGAAAATGCGTTAACCTAGAAATGTGAGTATCACTTTTCTATGCTCTTCAAATGCAGAAACAATCAATCTGAGAGGGTTTCATCTCCCCCTCCCCACCCAAGGAGGGAGGAGTGGAGGCAGAACTTAACAATTCTGAGGCCACGGTGCTCACACAGCATGGATGGCTTAAAATTAATCTACCTGGCTGCATCTTTGTGATTTACGTTGCAGAACAAAACACCCACCATCTTCAGCCCCAGAAACTATTTGCTTTACAGAACAAGCTTTAAAGGACTAATGATGCTGATATAAATATGTAGCCTAAACAAAATATGCAGAATACATATCAAACATGACTGTGTGTGCTAAGTCTCAAAAAAGAAACAAACAGACAAACAAAAAGCACGCTGGTTTACACAGAGACTTAGGACAGCTACAAAAGTTAGGCTTTTGCAGAAAGATAGAAAAAAAAAGTATGCTGAGAGATCTATATAAGTAAATGACAACAAGTGAAAAATGTGCTCTAAATGCCAATACTGCACATCTCTAACAACTGACGATGAAAGTGAAGATGTCTAAATGGTCCCTTTGGAGACAGAAACATATTACCTTACTGTGGACGATTTCTAGGTCTGCTTAACATAACAAAAGCAGACATGCCTGCAAGATTTGTTTTAGGCAGATGCTAATCCCAGTAGGAAATTGAGCCTCAATTCAAGCTTTGACTTCAACCAACAAACAGTACCCAGGATTTATTGCCTGGAAGTCTGGACAGCCACCAGTCTGTGTGAGTACTGCACAGCTTGGTTACTTGTGCCAATTCTCACCACTCCAGGCTTACAAATAAGACATGACTTTTCCCTCTGTTAAAATTTTATAACAAAAACAACCCTTAAAAGAATCAGGCTGAGACATGACATTTGGGTTCCTTAAAGTACTATTTGTAGCTCTCTGGTCATTTATGCACTTGAGCTCACTAGTTTATATTCCAAGCATCTAACTGAAACTAACTTGTTTGAACAACTATTCTGGCAAAAGGAGAAAGGAAATCAGTGTAAAAAAAAAAAAAAACAAAAAACAAAAAAAACCCCACACCTAAAGAAAATTCAAATATATCCCAACAAATAAAGAAAATAATAATTATAGAACAAGAGACAACCTCATATGAATGTCTGTGAGACAAGACTCTGAGATACAAGCACTATCTGAAAACCTCCAAGACTTCCAAGGAACAGATTTAGCAGAATAACACTTGTGCCTCCCCACCCTCTCTTCCCCACTTGCGACCAACATTTCAGCCCCAGTCTGATCCAGTAGAGTATTATTAATATTGACTGAATAGATGCAGACTACCCTGAAACTCACATTCAGGTTTATAGAAAAAACAAAACAAAACAAAAAACTAAAGAAAATGTTCTTAATTTTCTAGCTACCAGTTAGTTAACTGATTCATAGAGGCAGGTAGCAACTGTAATCAGAATCCAGAAACCAATTACTGCCTCCTTCCATCCTCCTAAGACATGCACATGCTGTTAGGAGGGGATAGGAGCAAAGGGAAGAGGAGAGGAAGCTGAAACGTGGATGAGAAAGCAGTGAATGCAAGAAAGTATCAGAAGCACATGGCTACAAAGATTGCTGCAGGCTTTTCCTATCTCCAGACTAAACAAATAATGCCTGACAAACACTTTCATTTCATTGCTTGTTTACACTGGAAGAACAAGCTCTGTGTCCACCTAACTCAGATCACAGTACAGCCAACCCAGGACAAGACATGACTGATACTGAAGCCAATTTACAGAAAGTCTTGCAATTATTAACCGGTTTATAATCCCCATAAATATGTTTCCCAGATTACAAAAACAACTTTTGTATGAACTGTAAGTCAGCCTTAGTATTGCAAGATGGCCTGAACCACCCAAAATGTGGAATATCTTAAAACTTGGGATGTTATTCAAGTGTCTTTAACGGAGGAAGGAGATACTTTGGAGTATCAGAGCATCACAGGCCTTCAAACTGCAGTAAAAAGAGAACCTAGCATGATTACAGGAGCTGCAGGTGAGGACAGCCCTCCTCCACAAACACACCACTAATTGAGCCTGTGCTCAGAAAAGAAAAGACTGAGCAGCTGCCAAAGCATGCTGAGCACACAGCAACGAAGGCAGGCTGAGAACTAAGATGAAGCAAACAGTGCAGAGCAGCAACCAAACAATGGGCCCTGAAACCTGAGGGCAGCCTCACGCAGATCCATCGGTCCCACTCTCCCAGCAACCTCCCCCAGTGCCAGGCAGGCAGTGAGTGCACCACCTGTAGTCTACATGTGTGGGGACTCCAGCTCTAACCCCAGTGCTTGCACATACAGAAGGGCAAAGAACTACTGCAGTTCTGGAGACAGTAAGAGCCATTTCATTAATTACTACCAGAAAAATCAAAGGAGTGTACTCATAGTATATGAGAAGGCTTTGTACAGCCTCCTGAACTTTCACCAAGAGTATTCAAGTTACACTGCCAAATTTTAATCTCAGTAAAATCCCTCATGCACATGTTGGGAGCACAGGGAGCAAACAATTTACTACTAGCATTTCACAGCAATAAAAGGAAAAGAAGATCAGAAATGGAAACTCATTTTAATGAGAAAGGCAAAGGATGAGCATATCTGTGTGACAGCTGAAAGCAGAAAACAGTGGCCAAGCCATCAAGAACTTTTACCCTGGGAAACTATTGGTGCCCCTGAACAAAACCAGGAAAAATATCAATTGTGGCTGCTGACTCCAGAAGTCACCCAGGGGTTGATAAAGGAAAACTATATCCTTCTTAAAACATTAAAAAGCTCATCATCATACTAGAGCTTGATCTCCATTTCACATGGGCAATTTCAAATGCACAGCACTGTGCACACAAGACCCCAGCACTGGAGGCACATTAACAAGGACCAGCAATACAATATTACTTTGATGCTTGAATCTGTCCAACCCTTCACTATTATGAGGAAAAAGCACAAGGTGCAAAACCAGGTAAATTCAAAACTCAGGAATTTTGTCAAAGCTACCAAGCTACTTTTTCCCTTCGTGGTAAAAAAAAAAAAAAAAAAAAAAAAAAAAAGCAGCACCTTGTTAGCTGTAATAAATAAACATACTATAAATTTGCTATTTAAATGCTTGCTTGCAGGGCTCTTCTGTTACATGGTAGAATGGCAGTGTCTGAAATTTGAAACACTGTCTTGAGGCTACAAAACTGGTAGATGTTAGGTAAACAAAAATCTAGTGCAATTTTTTTTCCTACTTGAATAAAATAAAAAAAAAAGTGGTATCATGTATATGTAATCATATGACCATAGGGAAAAAAAAAAGAAGAAGAAGAAGAAAAGACAGTACTAAAGATTCAGATCTAAGAGTCCAGGCACAACTGTAAATTGCAGCATCCCTGCCAGACCAACAGAATTCAAACACTAGGATCCAGGTGGAAAACATTAATGATATGACATAAAACAAGCAGCAGCCACACAGGCTTGGCAGATCTCTGATCACAGAGTCATAGAATGGTATGTGTTGGAAGGGACCTTTAAGATCATCTAGTTTCAACCTCCCTGCTATAGGAAGGGACACCTCCCCTCTAGACCAGGTTGCTCGAAGTCCCATCCAGCCTGGCCTTGAATACCTCCAAGGTGGGAGCACTGATACAAATCAACGATCATCAGCATCCCTCCACTACTGCCACACAGCCACAAATAATTTTTCTTTCGCAGTTACCATTTGTGAGAGTGCCATGTCCTTAGTCAGGCTTATCTAAGTCTAATTAAACATGTATATATTTATTTATTTCATAGAATTATAGAATGGCCTGAGTTGAAAAGGACCACAATGATCATCTAGTTTAAACCCTCCTGTTATGTGCAGGGTCACCAACCACCAGACCAGGCTGCCCAGAGCCACGTCAAGCCACGTCAATGCCTCCAGGGATGGGGCATCCACAACCTCCTTGGGAGGTTTTACTCTTTATATGTTTATACTCTTCCAGAAGACACACTTCCCCTTATGCACACGCAGAGAAGTAGAGATAACTTTATACTGCCTTCAGCAAAGCTGTCTCTTATCTCAGGCTGGTGTTCCCCAAGCCTCCAGCCACCACTTTTCACAGGTACTTCTGCAGACTGAGCGCAGAAATCCTTGCAAAGCAAACAAGCAAATTCATCTCTGCCTGAAAAAGGGGTCAAGAACCAAAAAGTAGATTCCCTTTCCCATCCCAAGCAGACGATTGCATAACAGCCCGAGTGCTTTAAAGGCGCCCATTTATCCATCAGGCACAGCGCACTGCTGCCACTACGCCGCCGAGCCGCACCTGTCCGTGGCGGAGCCCCGCAGCGCACACAGCGCCGGTGACGCCGCGGAGCCGCGCATACCTCTCGGTCTTTTGGAATTGCCGTTCTTTTGCTGCTCATCCTCTTCGGTGATGGTGAACAAACCCAGAGGGCTGGGCCTGGCACTTGTCTTCTTCAGCCTCTCTTGACGAAGGACAGTAGTCGCACCGGGCATGCTGTTGTCGTCTCCTTCTTATTTAAAAAAATAAAAAATAAAATAAAAACAGGGCGAGCACCGGCAGCCGCTGCACAGCAGCTAGCTGCGACGCCGCCTGCTCATTTGAGCGCCGGTAGCAGATCCCCTATGGATAAGCGGGACGCAAACAGCTGACCGACGCAGCATCCACTCGGCGCGGAGAGGCTCTTCGGGAAAAAGCCCCAGTTAAAGGCACACCGGTTCTGCCGCTCCTTTAACTCGCTCCAGCCAGATCGCAGCCCTCCGCTCCGGGTTCCCCTCCGCGGCACCCTCCTCTCCCAGCTACGGCACGCTGAAATATTCAGCGCGGGAGGACAGAACCCGATCCGCCGCCTCGGGCCGTTGCCCTGACAACACGGCCACCTCCCGCCCAGGGCGGCCCCGTCCTGCTGCGGGCCGCGTGGTCCGCCGAGAACCTGCGCCGTGCCGCTGCTCTGCCTGCTCTTGTTCGGGGAGTTAAGCTTCATTAAAGCGAGGAGGATGAGTCGTCTTCCATATATGTCTACGTTGCCCTCCCTCCCCTTAATTTAATCGCTTTCTTAGGCACCGCGTGCTTTCTGCATGAGGAATGCATACGCCCACTGTTGCAGGCAGGTGTGTGGGAACTCCGAAATCAGGCTCTCTGGCTGGAACAGACACGTGGGGCAACTAAACGACTTGTGCAGTTAGCATCTGGTACCACAACACTGATTTTACAGCACCAACCATTAACTTTCACTTTGCAAACCAAGCTAAGACCAACCAAGGTGAACAAAGGCTCCTGAGGCTCCCTTCAGCCGCTGCATTCCGGAGCTCTCTGGCCACGTCCAGCAGAGCCCTCACATACAGGCTGAGCAACCTGCACATTGCTCCTGACCTCTGCACAACATCCCACACTCCTTGCACTTTGTGCCCTCACCTTACAGTCAGAGAATTGCTAAGGATGGAAAAGGCACTAAGATCACCTAGTCCAACCATCAGCCCATTCCCTCCATGCCTCATAATCATGTAATGCCCCTCAGCGCCACATCCACGTGATTCTTGAACACGTCCAGGGTCGGTGACTCCACCACCTCCCTGGGCAGCCTGTGCCAGTCCTCACCGCTCTAAGAAAGTTTTCTAACATCCAACCTGAACCTCCCCTGGTGTAACTTGAAGCCTCTCATCCTATCGCTGGTACCTGGGAGAAGAGGCCGACTCAAACCTCTCCACAACACACAACTTCTTTTCACTTCAACCTCTCGCCATTCCAAATGCCACTAAAGAAAAGAAGTGAGCTACAACATCTCTTCAGTGTTACAGTCAGAGCATTTTCCCCCACTTTAGAGTTCATAAAGAAAAATGTGTAGCCTGATGCACCACACACTAGGTGATGAGTCTACAGGTGGCTCACACTTGAGAAATTAAGATGTGTAGACATGTATGGCCACCTCAATCACACGGATAGCATCCTGAAAGAGAAGGGCTGGAGCTGACAGTGGTGGCCTGGGATGCTGACCACCCCTCCACTCTGGTGGGACAGCAAGAACTGAACAAGGCAGTTGTACTGTTTGGGGCACAGGCCCTGAGCGTGGCCTGCAGCCCACAACAGCACCCATTGGCCCCTGGCTACCTCCTGCCACCAGTCCCCCTGCCAGGGAACTATGTGGGTGTGCACAGAAATCAAGCATGACAGCATCTGTCAGCATCTGCCAGACGCTGTGTACTATGAGGCGTGAACAAGAGGAGTGAGGAAAATCCTTCTTAACACAGGCTGTTCTTAGCTCAGTGATTCGCCCTCCGGGGTTTATACAGACTGTCATGCAAGAGAAGCAGCTCCATTTCCCACTCCCATCCACAAACATGCCTACCACAAATAATACACAGCAGTGCAGGCACATCCACCAGCATCGGTCTGCAGTTGGTACCAGAAATACTTTCCATGTGTTTCCTTTGTTTCCAACAACACAGAAGTAGCAGAAAGCACCACCTCCCTGCCAGCTTTGCTTAGCATTGCTGCCCTTCCTTTCCCTGCTTTCAGTCACCACAACAGGGCTCCAACCCTTTCAAACATTCTGTTCTGGAGCTATTCTTAAAACAATCCACTGCCTCTTAGGCACACCATACACCAGTACAGTCATGGCTCAGCCCTCACTGTCAGGTCTGGGTTCTCAGGAGATGGATTCAGGCAACTGGGCATCTTGAAGGCATCAAGGACTTTCTTCTTGCTACATCACGTTCAAACTCATTATCACCGTAATCACTACACTGCAGCACATCCACTTCCACCTGCTGGATTCGACAGGTGTAATAACTTGCACAACGAATTACCTGACAGAGTTTGAATGAAGACTATAAAGATAATTATACTGTGATCTGGGACATGTGAATATTTATAACAACGTGATAATTGATGCTTGTGCTTTAACATCAGACATTCAGCTTGATATCTCACCTAGTAAACATAAAGTCAGTCACCACAACAACTGCGGTGGTCTACTGCAAGCAATCTGATCATTTTCAGTGGGGGAACTCCAGATGTTGTGTCTCATTCATAGGATCACTTTCATAACCACACAAATACTATACGAAACTCACTGCTGGGTCCATAACAAGCAGCACGCGATGAGTTCACACTCTACAGCCACCGCCTCAAGAAGCAGCACCCTGCCAACCCAATACCTTGAGCTTCTCTCCGTGAGGCGAATCTCCCTGTTTGAGGGAGAGGTCGGATCTCTGTTTTGGTGGGGCAGACTACAGCCTTGTCCAACGCTGGCCAGCTTATGAACAGAAAGTGAAGGAGGAACCCAGCGAGGACAGGGCAACGTGCATCTTTTACAGGCAGCAGTAACCTGTGGTAACTAAGACTGTACAGGCTTTCAAGAAAAGAAAAAGAAAAAAAAAAGATATCAAGTACACTAACTAGAAGCCACTCTGTATTATAGGGCATGTCAGGCAAACCAAACAAATATAAAATCATATAGCACTACAGAAGAGGGAAAGGATCAATTCAGAGACAAGTTGTCGATGAAAAGCCCTCCATACAGAAGCACTCATAAGATGTTGCTGAATCACAGTACGCAGGTTTTTCCTCCACTCACTGTACATGCACTCAACAAGCTACATTTTACAGAAATCTCACATCTTTCTCCTGCAGGATTCTCAGGACAAAGGCAGATAAAATAGAGTTTAAGAAAAATACTACAGCTAAAGAGTAAGCAATTAAGCAGAAGTCTTTACCTTCTGTTTTATGGGAAGTTAGGGGACAGCATCAAATCATAAAAACCTCTCCCTCATCTCTCCTCCCCCCTCCCCCAAAAAAGGAAAAAAAAAAAAAACAACAGGCTAACTTCTGAAAGAACTCACTGATTCTTTTATTTTTCCCTCTTCTAAAGTACTTTGTAAGAGCTTATAACTATGACCACTATACTACTACTACTTATTTTTACTATTCTAAAATATACTCAGTTTGGATGGTGAACACCACAAGCTGAACAGAATGTTCATGTGCCTCAGTGCTTTTAGAGCAATTTCCACACTCCCTTTGTTACCTTTCTCCAGCTTTATGCAAAATTGCTAACAGGTGAAGTTCATTTTCTTGTAGGGGACAAAATAATACATAACCTTAAGATGGTTCTGGGTCATAGTATTTGCCAAGCAAAATAAAAACTGTTCCACTTCTGCTCTTGGATATTGGTTCAAGGCCACTTAAAATAAAAATAAAGCTTCTTCTCAACTCAAATGCACTTGGTATCAAGAATTAGATTAAGTCAACATGTTATTTTAACATGTGCTCCTTTTTGGATTGCAAATGTTTCATTAAGCTGTTTGTGATGTGCCTAGTACGGAGTGTCAGGAAAAGATAGGTCCCCATCCTATAAGCTAGCATCAAGAAAGGAGATGGCATTTTGCATTTATATTGCTGTTTTTCCAGCATGGAATAATAAGGTTTCACTGGGAATTGGGTTCCAGTCAGGGAAACAATCAGAGAAATCCAGGTATGGTTAACAGACCCCACACTAGCCTGCAAAAACAGTACCTGCCATTCAAAACCTGTATATATGTATAAAAACAGTGTGAGCACAGAATACAGCATGCAACCATATTTTACGTGGACATTTTTTGACATTAATAGTCATCTGTGTCAAAAGCTTTATGAACTCATTAAAAAAAATGTATGACAGAGCTACATATCAGAACATATGCATAATAACTAACTTCCAAATGCGATCCCTGCCTACATTTCTCCAGGGGATTCATCTCCTTGCATATACTTTCTACTTAATTTAGTAGATTTTAAATCAGGCCCAAACTCAAGCAAATAGAGCCTTTTTTTTTTTTTTTCCTACTTGGCATGAGAGAACAGCTATTTACTCAGCATCAAAGAACTGAAAACCTTATTTTCAATGCCATGCGAATCTAGGACAGAGCAAAACAGCCTTAAAAAGACAGATCTTTTTTTCCCTATTATAACAACTTCCTACAAGTTGGAAATCACAGAAATAGCTTTGCTGTCCTAAGAATTACTTATTCCCATTAAGCCAACCACTCCTCATACACATCTCATTTTTCTTCTGCCACTGCTGTTGCATTGCTCTTTTCCTTCTACCTCTGATTGTCAAAATAGAGAATAACCTCATCTTTAGAGGTTTTTAAATTTCTCCTCAAAGATTTCTTATGTAAATATGCAAGATAGTAAAGAACTTGTAGATTTTACAGGAATACATCTTTAAAATATGTATTTTTTTTGTTGTTTAGTCTATAATGACTGATTCTTTTTTATTTTTTATTTTTAACCTTCCAAGAAGGTGGAAAGAAGGCACCCTGTATTAATCAATAGCACAGAATCTAAAATGCCAGAAAAGAAGAAGGGAAACCTTCACATCTTTTGAGTAATGAGAATGCCGTCAAGTGCACAGACACCCTTGAATAGCTTTAAGTGAGCAACTCTCTTATAAAAGCCACGGCCATAATAATACAGTAGTGCCATGAACAACTTCTTCATTCAGTCACTGCATCTGCGTCACTGCATTGCAGTCGTTGCATCAAGTGCTTTAACTCCAGAAAGAGCAGAACCATTCGGCCCCACACCAACTGGAACTCGCTCAGAGCCATGCGAGAGCACAAAGGCAGGGATCCCACCGACGGATCCACGAGCTCAAACACATGCACCAGTGAAGCCATCAAATGCAAGACAAACATTGACACGTCTTGTTACACTTTTAATTAAATGGATTTGCATAGCATGACTAGTAATAAAAATTGCACAATGCGTACAGTGATGAATAACAATGCAATTTGAAAAGAGTTGCCTAAGAGTGTCCAACCTATCTGTGACAGCAGGATACGGGATCAGGCCTACAGCAGAACACCAGATTGCTTCAGTCCCTGCTCAGTTAAATACAGAAACGCAGTGAAGAATGGGAATGGATTCGATGGGGAAGTAGGAGACAGAAACTCAGCAGAAAGCAAAAGTCATCAGTGCTAATTATCCTAGGCAGTCTCCTCACTGCTTCTGCTTGTGAAAAGAGCATAGTTTTAGAAATCCTCACCTGCATGCACATCAAAAGGTGGAAGTGCTTGTAAAGCACCCTGAGAATGAAGAGACCTTCCCTATGTACTAAACTTTGGTAGAAATGTGAAATAGTTCAAAGCAAAGGCAACATGCCAAGACCAAATTAATTTTTTTTCCTTCAGTGTACTACCAACAGCACTTGGTGGATGAAATCCTGTGAAGAATTTGATGCTGTGCATAATTAACAGCACTCTCTTGGCATCTTCCCAGCACATTCATTAGATGAACCTGAAAAGCCCAGAGCTGTAGGCTACCTTCTTTGAGAAGACGACTAGTTAGAGTATCAGACAGTGACATGAAAACTATTTGGAGGCATCAGTACTTCATGTTTTCCTCACAAATTCCTCATACCTGGACTATCAATATGGAGCATAAGTCATTCCATCACTTGCAATCCCTAAGGGCTCCCAAAGTCAAGAGGAGTGGGTGATGCTAACTCCACCCACTTCAATCAGGCAGCCCATCCTCTCATGTTTTCTTAGCAGACAACTACAGCTCACTTTCCTTGAACTCCAACAGAACTCCCAGAATCCACATTTTCAAGTATTTTCTCGAAGTCCACTGAGGTTATAAATATGTCTCATTTTAATGAAAGCAAAGATTGACTTTAATAAAAGCAAATACTACATGACTCCAGAATCAATACTTCTGGGCACGTGCAGAATTAATTCGAAACCAGCTTTACAGAAGCACCATCTTCTCACAGCCACCTTCACCTTGAATGCACGTAACAGAGGCTACACGTGTACCTTGTTCTACAGCAGCTCCTCACAGCACTGCAATTGGACAACAGAAGTTGCATGGAGGGGGCTTTCCCTCCCGCAGGGAAAGCGAGTGTGCAGAATTGCCACAGCACCAGCAGCGTGCTGCAGCCTGCACTGCATGCACGTTTTTCCAAGTGAAAAATAAACTACGCCGTTGTGATTCTACCCCATATACATAATTGAGGCAATTACTGCGCTGATCACATTTAATTACATTTAACGCCACAAATAATTTCCAGCTGTAAAGCATTAAGTTTGTTTATCTGTGCTAAAGAAACAAATCGTCATTAAAATAAGATGGCAGCGGTCTCAGATTATGGCAAATTATGATTTTTGACATTTGAAGTAACACGTAGGAAGGAATATCCGTTCTCAACATGAACCCAAAGTAAAGCAATAGCGCACACAAGTGTAGCTACCTTAGCAGACACTCCTCCTGTCAAAAACGTATCACTAAAGCTTCAGCACCATTTAACAAGCTGGAAATAGTCACACTATTAACGTGAGATAACTACGGATAGGACAGGCAGAGCTCTCCGCTGATCTCCGTACCTCCGTCGGTAGCACAGCGACCGCCCCGCGCTTTGCTGCCAGCCTGTGCCGGCCCAGCGGTACAGGCGGAGCGGGCCGTGCCGCGGGCGCCGCCTGGCGGCCGGTGGGAAACAACGCGCCCCGCGGAGAGCCGCGGCCGCCTCCCAGCGGCGGGGAGCTGGCGGCTCTCGGGGCCCGTCCGCCCCCCGTGCGGCTTCGGATAAAGCAGCGGAGCCCGATAAGCGGGAGCGCAGCGCGGTGTCACGAGGCGAAGCGAACGCAGAATTCATCTGCACCACGGACGTCTTTTTAAAGCGCGCCTGCAAAAGGTGCGTCGTCGTCTCCAGTTCTGACAAACGAAAGAGCCCGCTCAGGCAATTAGCGAAAACATCGAGTTAACGCGACCCGGGAAAGAGCCGGAAAATGATTTGTGGCTTCAAAAAAACGTGGCTTCAAAGAAAACAGCCCGGCATCCCGTACCTCCCGTCGGAAGAGAAGCGGGCCGCCAACCCCGCGCGTTGCGGGTCGCGTTCTGCAGCGGGGCTGCGCTTGCGAAAAGGGCTTCCGAGCCAAAGCGCTGCGTACTGAACCTCCTTAACGACAGGCGGCACGTGGACGGGCCTGCCCGCAGCTGTTGCTCGCTGTTGCATGCCCACGTTATATCAAATATGTATTAAAAACATTACGTTGTGGAAACGTTAATTAAGCAGCAGCCACGCGGCTGCTTTGATGAACGCCCTTCAGCCACGAACCCAACGGGTGCGGGGGGAGCGAAGGACCGCAGAGCGTCCGCGCTGTGCGGCGTGGGGAAGGAGATGGGGACCGAGAGCTGCAGGCAGCCCCCGCAGCCGCAAAGCGAGCGGCACCTGCAGCAGCCACGTAGCGCTCCGCCCGCTTCCATACGCCCACACCTCCTCGCTCTCAGGACAAAACAAGAGATCCCGAACGCCGCCCCAGCAAGGCCACCTACGCGGGGGCGGCGGCAGCCGGTCGGGTCAACCCCGAAGGCCAGCGGTGCTGCAGGGCCCCGCGGGGACGCACCGTCGCCGTCCCGCATCTACCCCGGCTCCGCAGCCGGGGCGCTGCGGCACCGCGGGGTCGGGGCCGTCGCCGCGCGGTGCCAGCGGAAGAACGGGCAGAGCCCCGCAGCTCGGCCGTGCACCTGTTGCGGGGGGGAACGGCCGCCGCCAACTCCGCGCCGCCGCAGCTCCCCGCGGCCGCATAGGGGCGAGCCGGGCCGCGCGCCCACCCCGAGCCGCGCGCAGCGCCTCACCTGCGGAACGCCGGCGCCCGCCGCTCCTGCCCGCGGCCTCCGCCATGTCTCTTCCTCGGCGCGCGCGGCGGCTCCGCCCCGCGGCTCCGCGGCCCCGGGCAGGTGAGGCCGCCACGTCCCACCCCCGGCGGTAGCTGCAGGTGAGGGCGGGCAGGAAGCGGCCGCTGCCCCGAGGGTGGCTGTGAGGAGGTTACGAACCGGGAGCTATCGGCTCCCTCCGGGTTCCGGTGCCTGTATCTCCCTGCGTGCTTTTGCGGTGTCTGTTTGTTCGTTGCCTCGCAGGACTCTCGGAGCACGGCTGCTGCGGCAGCCTCTGACGGTGTGAGGCGGGACACGGGGCTTGGGTGGTGAAACTGTGCTGTGGTTTGCGTGCACGGGAATGGTGCTGTAACACGGGTGCAGGCTGGGCTCGGTGCCGAACGAGAGAAGGTCCAAAGCCAGCTCTGCCGTGGTCCGGATTTCCTTCTTGCCTTCTGCTTGGCTCTCTTACAGAAGTGGAAGGAGCCTCAGCCACCCTGAGCCCTGCACTAGAGCAGCCCTAGCCAAGGACCAGGAGGTTGCTAAAATCAAAGGGAGAAGTGCATCCTGTAGTCAAAAGGCTCCGTGCTGCAGAATCCTCCGCTAAAACATACCAGGTCCTCAGAATGTGATCTCGTGTCTCACTTGAGGTCACTGGTACCTGTCAGCATCCCCGGAAAGCAAAGCTGAGGGATTCCCCCTTAAAGGGAGCTGTAAGAAGGAAGAGGACAGGCTCTTCAGCAAGGTCTGCTGCGATAAGACAAGGGGAAATGATTTCAAACTACAAGAGGGGACATTTAGACTGGATATAAGGAGAAAGGTTTTTATGATAAGGGTAGCGAAGCACTGGAACAGGTTGCCCAGAGGGGTGGTGGATGTCCCATCTCTGGAGACACTTAAGGTCAGGCTTGACAGGGCTCTGAGCACCTGATGGAGCTGTTGGCATCCCTGTTCATTTCAAGGGAGTTGAACTAGATGGTCTTTAAGGGTCCTTTCCAATTCAAAGGATTCTATGATCCCCAGCAGACCTCCCTGATGCACTCTACCCCAAAGGGTGTGCAAGTTCTGTCCATTACAAATACTTTTACAACTGTCCAGAACAATTTACATGCAAGTGCATGGTGGGTTGCTACAAACTCTTTTCTGACTGTGCACAGCTCTAGCCCAAGGATGAATAAACTGGGCAGCTGAGGGAAGCACAGCCCACAGGTGCTCAGGTAGTATGGCTGTCTAGCCCTGCATCAAATATGACACAGCCCTATGGAATGGGTTACTGAGCAGCTTTGCAGGTCTAGTGAGGCCAACAGCAAACCACAGGAATTAATTCCCAGCTGGTGCCAAGCTAGGTCTCGTGAAGACATTAAAATGGACATGAAAATGATCACACTGTCTTCTCTCACACATAGCTGACATTCCTGAGCATCCTGAGTCATAGGCCATGGACTGCTTGCTTTTAAAGTATGAAGAGAGAAAGCAATGCACTTGTGTTCTGTTCTATTCATCCTGCATAAAACCAGAACTTTTCAAGCTTTAATCATGGGCTGACACAGAATCCCATTTCACATTGTCAAATCAAATTAGTTTGTTTTCCTAAAGTCACTTTTTCACATTTAGGATTTTTTTTAAATTGGTTGTGTTTCCTACCACTCTTTCCTGAGTACGTAATTTTCTTGGGAAATACATAACCTGAAAAATTCAGGGCATAAGCTGTTCACCAACTACCAAGACTTATGAAGAAAGGAGTAGCTTCTGTCTAAGCATGTTCTATTCACAATAGAATGGGGATTTGTTTTGTTAGGGTTTGTTTGTTTAACAGCTGCCCCAAAAGAATCTCAGTGGAGGAATGCCAGGATGATGATCAGCGTGGATGGACAGAGAATGTCCATGATCCTTTTCCATGTGTGAGAAAAGAGATACAGGCAAAGGTAGAATACAGCAAAACAACTTTTTTGTGCACAGAGGGTGGGTGTTCTTTTATCACATCAAACAGAGGAGCCTGAGAAAAACTGTGTTCTGCAGGGAGTTGTCAGTGTTCTGTTCACAACAATTCCAGTACAGAGAAAACACTCAAGGTTATAGATTAATCAAAGTCAAATCACTGTAACTTGAACCCGTCAGAAAGTTTCCCTTGATACTCAGTGTGATTTTTTTTTTCCTTTTTTATTCCAATATTTTCCCATTTTACACCTTTAGTATTTTAGAAGTTCAAAAATATAGGAAAAAGTAACTCTTAGGTTATTTTTATTTTCAACTGTGTGTGTCAGATAGCTTTAGAACAAGCTAACAGTACTATGGTTGAGGTGTATGCAACTGGTACAGTTCAGTAGTACATAAACAACTAAAACAAATGCACCATAGAACTTAAATTACCAAAAATAAACAATATTAAACTATATAGAGCAGTAGGTAAAAACAATTACTCTTAGGACTTGCACACTAAAAGAAAAACATCTACTTCTGATTGAAATCATGAATTTCTACTACATTTTACTGATACAACACTACAAAGAAAAAGAAACTTGGTTGAGAAGGTGTCACATTTCGGTTTTGTTCCAGTGATGCACAGTCACATGAAACCTTACATCAGTTTTCCATGAAATGAACATCTGGTTACTTTAAGTACGATATTTCTTGAGTTAATTTTTTTTTTTCCCCCTTTTAATTTTTGGAAAACTTGCAAGTAAAAATGGTTGAAGTAAAATAACGTTGCATGTTGTTTACATATTCCTCAGGGATTACAGGAGTAAGAGCAGTCAGGAAGCTGCAGTGTTTTTAACATTGGTAAACAAATACTGGATTAAAGTGCAACAGTCCTTCTGACAGCACACCTGCTCCGTGCTGGAAAGAAACCTCTTCCTCTCCATGGAGAAGCAAGGGAAGATTTAAGTGTCAGGCATGTTTCTGTCGAAAGTCAGTAATGGCCTTCCAGAGTGTGCATAGCATTCCTCCCCTGTAAAGAAAAAATAAATTAGAGATGCTCAGGTACGAGAATATTCTCTAGCCTGAAAGTATTCCAATTCAGGTGCATTCTGATTTTCTTGTTCTAGTTTTGATTAATAAAGTTCTACGACTGAGTAGGAAGGTTGATCAAAGGTAAAATCCAACATGTATTCAAACAGAGAGCAGAGTCCTTTTTTGATTACAGTGCAGGGCAAACTTTTACTTTCCAGTTGCCTGCTTTCTGGAATTCAGACTTCTGGACCTGCATAACCCACAGCGAGCTGCCAACGTTATGAAGGAACCACCTGCTAAAGTTTTACTACTTTTAAAAAAGTATTTTAAAACTAGGAACCCTCAGTGCTTGGTATCTTCTCTTGTTTCTTCATAAGCTGGTCCTGCTGTGGCAGATGCACCTGGCATGACTTGCTGAAATCTAGCATTAGCTGTAGGCCGTGTTCATTTCTGCAGCTTTGTGATAATGGTGAACTACAGCACATTTTGCAGTCTCAACCTTTTAAAGTAAAAGCAGGGCTCTAGTGGATTCCCAGGGTATCCAAGTGCAAGGTAAAAGCTTTACTTAAAAAAAAATTCCTTTTGCTTGGCTATAAAAGAAAAGCTTGTTTTTAATGTGTAAGCACTACAGCAGCTTATCAGGACTGCGTAGAGAGATACAAGAAATACTGGACAGTGTAACTTCTATTAAAACAATGCAGCACAATCCAAGAAATGGGTTTAGTATCAGTTATTTGTTCATGTAACAAAACCTGCTGCAGCTGCATGCAGTTCACTTAACTGTGCAGCCTTACCTCAGTCTCAAACACTTCAGGTCATCTCGTGTAACATAGCAGAGAACATCCATTAAGGTATAGTCTTCAGCCAAGAACTACAAAGAAAAGTTAAATATCAATATTTTGTTAGAAATACTATCTAGCCTTATATGCTGTCTGCCCTTAGAAACAGAAGTTTGGAAGAAATCTAGAATTGATCCAACACGTGCTGCATCTAAGAAATGAATCCATATTGTACACCCTTGTGAAACACAGTGAAGCTACTTATTTTTTGTGTAGTGTATTGCCCACACTGACATACCACGTTACTCTAAACACAGTGCTTTTGCAGCTTCTCAAAACATTTGTCAGTTGGCATTTCCATTGTTACCACTGGTATCTCAGAATCTTGACTTCAGTGTATGTACATTGGGGCATCATTAATACTACATTAAAAAATTGGAAAAAAAAAAAAGCAAAAAAAAAGCTAAGATTCACATTTTCAAAAGTGGCATCTAAATTTGATACTTGAATTTCCAAGAAGCCTTTGAACTACATGAAGGTTTTCTTAAGTCAGCCAAAATTGAGGTGCTCAGCACCTCTAAAATTATCTATCCTTTGCTGCAGAATCTTGATGAGATTTCACTTAACACAGATAGCTAAGGGTGAACACGTTCTCTGTATCCAGGGCATAATCAGCAGGAACTGCTACCATCTGGGAGGATGCTGAAAAACTGTGAGGCAAAGCAATACTGCCTCTTTACAAGGCTAATTTATTCTTACTCCTTGTCAGTTACACGATCTATCTATCTATAAAATTATAGCCTTCATATTTGTAGCTTTTTCTTTTCCTCTGAAAAGAGATTCATTCTCATTACTTCACACATTTTGAGAGACTATTTGTTTTCTTCTTGTGCTCAGTCACAAAACAGTACTGCATCTGTGTCACAAAGCAATCAGAAAGCACCATTCTTACCTTGTTTATTGTGGCCTCATCAGCTCCTTGAACACTCAGCCAGTTTATGAGATCAGGGTCCTCAGTCCCTGTGCCAGTGGAATGACGATGACAGACAGATAATCCAGGAATATCTAGAACAAGCATTTCTCTTTTTTAAAAGGTTGCATGTTGCCAAAGCAACACCTCCTATCATTTTTACTGCTGAAGCAGTGTCTTCAATCACTCTTCCCTCCACCCTTAGGTTAGCAGTACCCCCACAAATCAATGTCAGTTCCTGCAGCCCACAGCCAGTTGCAGTCTATGGACAGTTCACAACTATTGTGCTTGGTTACGGTCAGTTACTTTACTCAGACTGAGTTTGGGCCTGGGCCTGAATGTGAAGGCAGTTAAAGCAGCATGAGCATCTGATACAGATACTTTCCTCTTCGGAGAATGACTCAGATGGAAATTCAGTATCATTGTAATTGTGTCTACACAGAGTTTCTTACACAAATTAAATATTCAGGGTAACTCATACAACTGATGTGTAGGCAATGCTTTACAGTGAGAATCAGCTGCTTTTGCAAAGTGGCACTTATTTGAAGCACACTACATTGAAGTACCAAACTGCATTAGCACTTCTACCCTCTTTGAGGTAGATACAGATCAAACTCAGCTTCACTTAGTGAGCTTTAAGTTGCACTTCTGTCTCATCATTTAGATAGAGCCTCTTGAATACACAATGTTACAACTGCCATTAAAAATATTTAAGTCGTACTATTACTTTTATTGTGATTAACAAATTCATCAATTTGTTTCTTCAGTGTGCACTCCAAAGCACATTTTGTCAAAAGCAACATAGTAAAACAGGTTTGCTGAAGCTGACTCAATAGAAACAAGATTTCATCTGTAGCCAGTGTGAAATTTTTCTCTGAAATAGCTTCTTACCTATCGGCTGTGACCTAAGCCGGAGGTTTTTGATCTCCTGATCTTTTTCTTCTATAGCTTGATGTAAAAGGACTTGAAATTCTCTCTCCTTTTGAACCAGCTCCTCCAGTAACCTGAGAAGCAAGAGGAACAAAATGCATTATTATTATTATTATTTTTTAAAGGTGGTTTCAAGTGTTCAGGGAAACACATCCTACTAAACTTAAACTGGAAACCTTATTGACAGAGATATGGACAGATTTCTTCTCTTGCCTTAGGAATATCCTATCACTATAAACTTTTATGACTCACATGAAGATAGAAGCATCTATTCTTCTGGTTCCTAAAGCTACAGCTATTAAGCAGCAAAACAAAGCAAATACTCTGCCTTCATAGACACATACACATGCTGAACAGAACACGTAGTATGACACAGTTCAGTGAAATTTATACAGCCAGCATTCTGTTAAAAACAAAACTGTGGAATTCTTCTTCTCAATTATTGAACCATTTCATAAACCAAGTGCTGAACTTTGTCACTTTATCCTGTGTATGGCAGAATGCCAATTCACATTCCCCCAGCAGATATTTTCAAAAGCACGGCAGGGACAGAGCAGTGATGAAAAAGGGGTGGCAGCTTATGGGTCTGTTTCTCAAGTGGGGAAGATATGCTGTAATCCACACAAGGTCTCTCCTCACATAGTAGAGGGTTTATACCTGTCCTCCCATGCTTTATGAATGTCAGAAAAAGCAGAATAGCTTTGGTGCTCTCCTAAGCAATTACTTTTGAGAACGACAAGCAGAAACAAACTGGAACCTATGTCTGAATCCCTCATAATACAATGCCAGAGGGAACCCTTTAGAAGTTTGGTGACCAGCACCATTCAAATTGATCAAGGGTAAAAAGTCAGAATACAATAGAAAATGTACATGTGAAACTTGCTGCTGTAACTTCCTGTTTTATATTTTTATTTCTTTATTTATTTTTGTAAAAAGGAGGAATTGTGAATCAAACACACTCAGAAACATGGCTAAAGAAACTGGAGATTGAGAACCATATGCTCACGTTATAGCTCATAAACCCACTGGTGACTCTCCAGTCTTAGAAAGTTCTACTTCAAAAGAATCACAGCCTCTTCATCCCTTCCTTGAAGTCTTTGTCAGCCTGAAAGCTACACATTATCTGTTCCATTTTAGTGCAGCTTTTTTGCTTTTTTTTTTGTTTTGAGGCACTGCAACTTTTCTTCTGGGATGCTGAGAGATAAGGGCATTGTGGAATTCAGCTGGTGGACGTACAACAGAAGCACTCTGTCTTTGCACAGAAATGAACTGCTTCTTATATGATTGCTACTTTTAGGAATGCATAGAACATGTTGGATTACCAACAGCACAGCTGCATTTGAGTACTTTCACGCTAGAGCTGACAGTTCTTGAGAAGTCCGCCTCCCATGCTATCAGCACTGCTTTGTGTCTCTGCACACACCCACACCTTGGTTACTCTCGATGCAGATTAGTATTCTGCACAGAGTCGTGCAGCCTGAGGCTTTAACTGAAGCTTTCAGTTAATGTATTCCTCCTCTACCCATTCTGGTTGAAAAAAGGGCCTTTGGGGCCAATAAACCATTTTCTCTCGGTAGCTACTTGCTGCAAATGCCAATAAAGCTTTAATTAATTCCTTAATTAAACAACTGCCCATATTATTTACCTCAAAATTTGAGTGTATGACAGGATGTGATTATTTGGCCAAAGGTTTTGCATTCAAGAAGTTTACACGAGTAAGGTTCTAGAAAGCAATACCTCATCCAAGAGGATGCTATTCCTGAGCATAAACTTGAGAAGTCAAGTGAGATAATCTGCATCACGTTTGTGTTGTTGCTTTTAAGTATATCAATAAGGTAAATCAAAATATTCCTCAGTGCTCACCACAGACATAAACAGTGAATTGTAAAATGAGGACTGAAGAGTTCTTACTCTATCAAAAATAGTACAGTATAATGAATTACTCTAATTATGGCAAAGTTCCTGGAAACACTTAGAAGTAAAGAGCAGTTTAACGTTTTAATTTAATTTGGGTCAACTGCTACATAGAATGTTCTGGCAGCATAACAACTGTACTGAAGATGTATTCTCCTTCTGCAAAGGTCACATAAAAAATTTACCGAGGTCAGTGGGAAATCCAGTGTCATATAAAGCTAAAATAGCTGCTCCAAACAGACTATTTGGTACATGTTAATGAAAAGAAAACAAGATTATATAGAAAAATTGTTTGGATAAAACAATGGGGGTCAGAGATCTGTGTTTTTAGTTGAGAAAATAATATCTTAGTAAAAGTAGAATACATATACATTCTGAAAAAAAATCCAAAATACAAGTTTCTGGATCACCTCTTATTTAAAAAATGAACACATTTTTCCATCTCTGAACCACAGCATTTTTAAAATAAAATAAAGATGTAATGCTTGCTTGTAAACACAAATCCTGCTGCAGTGAATTCTGCACACAAAACAACTCTGGAAGTTTCCTTTGTGAGTTCACGTGTGGCTGTCGACTCGCTTTTGTTTGTTCCCAGGAATAACTACCAAAAAGAACAGTGTGTTCTGCCTTAATAGAAACAAAACATACCACCATTCATCAGCTATATACAGCTTATGAAGGAGAGAAAAAGCAGAAGCTTGGCAGCAAGATAAACATTTTCAGATCTTCCTTGAAAGGGTGCCTGAAACAAGACCAACTTTAACTTGTGTTGTTATTGTGCTGAAACGAATAAAACTAACACATGTGATCAGTCACAACTATACCATGACTATCATTTAAAGAATAAGTTGCATTACTAAACATTACTATAGCATTTTGATAATGTCAGTACTATTCTAGTATGTATAATTAAAAACACAAACCAACATACAGTCACAAGAAGGCTGGTGTGTCCTGACGCCCAGACTTACCTATTAGTCTCTAATTTTAGCCTGCCCAGCTGGACACTCAGTGTTCTCTGAGCAGCCTGTGAGTCATGGGATACTGTAGAGCTGAGTGTGCTCACACCTGAGGTAGCTACTGCATCTTCCATGACAATGCAAGGCTGTTGGATAGTTTGATTCTGAGGCTGCTCATCTTGATCTTCTTCAACTTCTATATCATCTTGATCTGCTGCATCACTTTCAGATGCAAGACTAAAATGTGGCCTCAATTCTATTAGAAAGATTAAAATATAAGGAAAAAAAAAAAAAAAAAAAAAAAGCTATTTAGTGATTATCCTACAGCTTTGATTAAAGCAGACTGGAAATTTCTGGAGATCTAGGGGTCTAAGACCACTCACACCATAGAGTAACAGCTTAGCACATTCTGATTCAGCCTACAGAATGTTCAAAGTCCTTAAGAAATAGAAATCTGGCTTAGGAAGATTTCAAATTTGGCTAGCATGTGATGTCAAACTGCAGAGGAATCTTACAGTTCGCCCTATATACAGAACAAACAGTACTGCACTCAGTCAGAATTTGCAGTATGAATGCTATCTGCTTTCTAGTGCCAGGATTGATGGAGGGTTTGCTGAACTGGGAGGGAGTGAATGACTGTTACTGCCTCCAGTAGTTGAGGACAGAGCTACCATACTAATACCACTTCCTATTAACACCTATTAAATGCTGATTAAAGCAGTATTAACCCACTCGTGCATTAGATTTAGGCTACAGCTATCAAGAAGTACAACTGTGTGCATTGTAAATTATAACTGCAGCTGAAAACACGAGAGAGAAAACTTAAGAGATTCAGATATCTAGAGGTCTAAACATCTGAGATATTTAGCATTCTCTCACTAAAAGAATATCATGCTTGCCAAAAACTGTATCCAAATATAGAGAGAAAATAACAAACTGATCACGTTTACAACAGTTAAGGCAGCACACTTCCCTTCTACTTGTCAGAGTGAACAGTGCCTACTTTGTAGTGATATACACTCACAATATCACAGACACAAAGCTGTAAGAATACACTGTTTTCTGTTATTCCCTGTTTAAACTACCTACCAGATCTTACCAGGTATCTTACCAGGCAAGATACATACACAAGATCTTATATTCCTACAAAATCTGTTACTGCATCAACATCTGTTAATCTCAGCCATTTTACGTAAATCTTCCTTCCTTCCTTCAATTGTGGCTCCTTATGACTGAGTATTCCCTTTAGCCTCCATTTCAAAACATATATGTATATATATATATATATATATATACACACACACACAATTATATATATATATATATATTTTTTTTTTTTTTGCCAGTTTTTTTTTTTCCTTTATGCTCAAGAATCTACAAGTAAACTTCTTTCCAAAAGGGACATTCATGCCTCAGTCCAATTAACCTCTTAATTTCAATGCCACTTGCTTTAGAGCCAAACATACTAAGAATAACAGCTGCCTCTACTTAAGTAAAACAAAGTAGATCAATCACACAGCAGCTCCCCAGTTGTTTTTTATGTTAGGGAAATAAGTCTGTATTTGTTTTACTTTAAAAAACAAAAACATCACTCTACTAGGAACACAAGTTCATTTTGCCATTGTAGAGCAACCATCAGCAAGTGTAAATACACATTTTTCAAAAAAAAAAAATTAACCCATTAATTAACCTGGGACTAGAACAGTAATAGCTGTCTGCACAGCTTTTCTAATTATGTTGTCCAATGCAATCATCCAGTGGGGCTTGATGTTATGATTTGTTCATCCTTTGGATTGCAATAGCAGCGTTTTGCACTTCAAAAAAGGCAGCCTCAGAGTACCTTTGCCTGGTAATGCTCATTAGGTTGCAGAATTGTTTACATTACACATCTTGGAAAGTGCTTTCCAAAGTAAAACGGACAATACACTTATCAGTGTTAGAGCTGCAAAACAGACAGTGAACAGGAAAAAAGTCCCTGCTAGTTTCAAAATCTTAAGTGAAGCACCATAATCACAGCTCTAAAGCACATTTAAAGAGATCAGGCAACAAATATTTGCTGAGCAGTATGAACTAACTTACCTGGGACCAGAATAGTAATTGCTGTCTGCACAGCTTTTCTAATTATGTTGTCCAATGCAAACATCCAGTGGGGCTTGATGTTATGATTTCGGAGAACTTTATTGACCTAGCAACACAGAATCCAAGTCAGCCATCATATCCTCCACAAATTAATAACACTATGATATATGTCAGAATTTTGTAAAGTGTTTGAACTTACAAATGTTGCATCAAAACAAGTGATGTAAACTGTTTCATGTTGATGCTGAATGAAGAAATTGTTAACAAAAGAGTGAAAGTTGACAATACCACACATCAGAGACAGGATTTTGTAGTTTTTTCTAAATGAAGTACAGTTCCTGTGTTAGGTGTTTTCAGATGGCTGGTACTGAAGCTTATTTAACATTTACAGTCATAGACTGACTGGAAAAAAAAATGCAAGCTCCAAGACAAATACCAAGGACCATATTGTGAAAGCTTTGTGACTTAACCTAATCAACCTTGTTGCTTTTCTTGGTATGATTTTCTCTGCTTGCTCTGAACAGTGCTTCACTATGTTAAAGAATAGCTGTAGGAAGTATAAAAGAATTAATATAACAGTGCTCCCTCTTGATTTAGAAAATAGTTAATGTTAGTTTAGATAGTTAAATTAAGAAGACTTCATTTTGATGCTGTGCCATCACCTCTTTCCTTCTACTGTTAACTTCATACAATGAGACAGTTGCACTTGTGAAAACTTTTATGCATGATTGGAAGGCAATAAAGTGTTATTAATCATATTATCACTGCCCTAAAGCAACAGTGCTCAGCAAGGCAGGAATTGACGTAGGTGCCTGTACCAAGCTGGCTGGCATAGAACTCATTTTCTTTATAGCAGCCCGCAAGGTGCTGCGTTTTGGCGGGTAGCAGACTACTTTTGCACTACGTGGTCTCTCCATCTCCTTTGCTTAAACAATCCCCATCTTGACCCATAAGTTTTCTCTCACCCAGCAGCCGGCTCAGCTCACCGCAGCACCTCGGTCTCCTCAGTTCTGTCCTCAGCGGCCACAAGATGGCAGTTGGACACTACGCAGAAGCGCACAGAGCCTTAGGCTGCCCACAGCCCCCTCCAGGCTGCCCACGGCCTGATGAGGCAGTGCACCTCCTGCTAACTCCTACCCACAGCAGTGCCTTTAGCTGAGCCTATCTATCCGACTACTGGAGAAGCACAATGCATTTTTGTCAAGAACAACAACAAAAAATCCACAGGAATGTCTTTGAGCTTTCCAGACTGTAGCACAAAACTACTTTTTTTTCCCACGGGTGATCTGATGAGGACATCTTGGATATTAGCAGGGTAATCCCAGGTTACGAAGTTAAAAGTCCTGAGAACAAGGGAAATGCTTTCCCTCACTATTAACAATATGCCTGCCTGAGAAGTACCTGAGATGGATACACATCTGGATGAGAGTTCTATTATAGAAATTTAACATGTCAAAAAATAAAGGCCGGCAAATGAGAAAGCAATCTTTTTTCTTTGACCTTTCAGTAGTTCTCTTAGCTAAATAACAGTAGGGGGAAAGAAATGTGTAACTTAAAAATAGCAACTTACAACAATGAAGGTAACAGAAGAAGATTAAATATTTATAGAAAAGAGCATGAACTGACTGTTGTCACAAAACAGCTGATGCCCAAGAACATCTGTCAGAAACCCAACACAGATATTCATACTCTTTCCTCCCATCAATTGGTTTTCTGGTCTTTGTACACGTATATTTCTTTCAGCTGTCCGAACAGAAGTGACGTGAAGCTAAAGAGAGCGGAGAGCTGAAGAGTATTCAGAGTGAAGACTTCTTTCCTTTGAGGAAAGCTCTCTCTTACAGATTCATTTTGCATATTAGCTTTTTTTGGTAGGCAGTCTACTTCGTTGTCACTATGGTGTATGCAACAAACAGTTTAAATGCTGTACAATCTTTCCTGACACCTCTGTTCTTTCTCAAAGTACACAAGGTCAAAATGCTGACAAGAATGATCCGCCTCAAGTGCCTACTAGGGCTGTCATTTCACTTTTCACTTCAGAACTTCAGGCTGCATAGAGACGCCCAGCACAGCTGTTTCCTCCCATGTAAATTATTCATCTTAAGCTTTAAGCATAATTGTTTGTGAACTAACATTGAAACACACAGCTGGAAAACAAAACCAATTTGCTTTTGGTACACTAGCTATTTAAATGGTATTTATATGCCTATTTGGCTGCTGCTTGTTGTTGGATAGCACAAACTTTGAATTAATTGCTGTCACACAGAAAACCTGTTTTTCTTCCTTCTTATTCTATTTATTATAGATTGACAAGAAAAGCTTCTAACTTTGGTTAGCAGCTAATTCTGATGCTAACCAAAAATTCTAGAGTCAGAATTCACATCAAATGTATAATTTAGGTAGCATATTATGTCAGGCCATGGAAGTACTTAATGCATTAATTTATAAAATAAGGCAAGTTCAAGAGATTTATTTATGCAAGACTTGCTTGACAGTCAGTGTCAATCTTATTTACCAGAAACTCTTACAAAATGAGATTTTTTTAAAAAAAGGTTTTTCTGCTTTGGCACTGTGACAAAGCTTATGCAACTGTGCTGAAGGAAGATTCTTTAATCAACAAAATCTCAACAGCTATGTTCGACATTTGCGTCCTGCCAACAGTCCCGCAGCAACCAAACCCCAATCATAGCTGTGGGTTGTTTTCCTCGTTATTACAAGATCAAAGTTCTCACACATTACTGTTTCTGAAATTCTGGAGGGAAGTTAAGAAAGTTTCATTTACTTCTGTTTCCTAGATTTTTGCAGTTTTCCCATGCAAAATATTTAGTAAAAATGACAACTTACAGCATCTTGAAAACCAAACAGCACAAGCTGCACTTGACTGATACCGTGGCTGTCGAAGTCTAACTCCAGTTTCAGTTTTGAAAGAGTGGTTGCAATGATTTTACGATCAGTGGACCGTACAAACTCTCTGAGGCTGGAAACAAGCGTTGTAATATGTTCCCATTTTAGCTTGGGCTCTTCAGCTCCCTGGAAGAAGAACAGAGAGGAAAGGAAATAGTTTTTATAACCATCTTTTGAAATGTACACCCAGAGGGCCTTCAGCCAATAATGTTAGTTGGCAAAATGATTTTTGGAAACTGATGCTATAGTTAAGGCAAAAGTGCAACTGTAGGTCACATACAGTGGCTGTGTAAACACTACTGTACCCGAGTTCCCTGCGAATGCAGACTACTGCCCAGAAAGTACCTGACTTTATTTTACAGTAGTTGCTGAAGTATATGTGCATATTATGTATGTGTATATGCTATACGTGCACACCACTATGAATTGCAATTAAAAAAAGAACAAAACAACCACGTACTTTTCAGAATGCCTCTGAAAGACAACATGAAAAATCCCACCACTGCATTTAAAAGAAGGAATTAGTCAAGGTTACAGAGGAGGTTTGGAAAAATACTAATTCCTTTCTACATCATTTCCTTTTCTACAGAACTTTCACACTTAGCTGTTTATTAAAGCAAATCTACAGATCTCTTCCTTCTCTATGACAAAGTCTAGTGCCTATCTTTAAAACTTACTGTGTTTTTGCATGTGCTACAAAAATAGCAAAAAAACCTCAAAAGTATTCACCAGAATAAAGACCATGAATAACTAGGAAGCAGAAGATTTTATTTACTCTCCAATATAATATAATAATATAATATGGAATATAAATTTAATTTTCAAACCTTAAAATTAAGTCAGAGATAGAAAACCTCACTACTTGTTCAGCACGCAGCATTAAACACCTTTTCTAAAGGAACTGAAGTACTTACAGAAACTGAAGATTTCTAGCATTGGTTTCTATAACAGAAGCACATTCTGTGTTTGGTTCCCTTATGTTTGTTAGTTTTAATCCATGAATGCTATAGCTGGATATGTCAAGAACTCTGCATAATTTGTTAACTAGTCTTTGACTGTTAATTAATTCTGATCTGGATGAAAACAAGATGATTTGGCTGGTGGGGGAAGGTAAAAACAAAAAAAACTCTACAGCAATTAAACATCTTACTGACTAAAGCAGCCCATGTCTGAGAAAAATTCTACCTTCTGATTTTGATTTGCTCTGATTTGGAAAATTCACCTGTTGTCTATACTGAAATGGACTCCTCCCCCTGTCCTGCAGTAATTGGTCTCCTTTTCCTGGAAATAATTAACAGCCTTTAGGATAAATAGGTGGACACGGAACACACTGCAGCCCTTGAATTAGAAGGTTCCAAGTCCATCAACGGCACCTTGGGGACATGGTAACCAGTATGGCTCCCTAATTAGAAATAGAGGTTTACTTTGGGGAGGGTCATTCTCTTGCCATAGCCCTCACCCACAGTGACTGTTTTGTTGCAATTATTCTTATAAGAACTTCTTGTGAAGGGAGAAGTACTATCAAAGCCTAAATCCTGACAAAGCCTAACAAGCGGGTCAGGCTTCTATTGGTACTTTCTCATTTTTAAGCAACATATAATAGGAATCCAGGTCAGCTTCCCCTTAACTGCAGTTACCACTGCTTTCTGGTGGTTTGAGTAAGTTTTCTGCTCTTTGACAAGGCACAAAACTGAGACAGAAAACTGTGATTGGGAGTCAAAGTTCTGCACTCTTCTGAAGTGCTGATGTTCCCACCCAGCTGGGCTTTGAACTCAGACACTACAACTCCACATTCCCTGGATCCTTTCTTGGCTGTTCCAGCTCACTTGAGGAACACTGTTATTCCCCCATCAACATTTGGTGGGAACTACAGGAGAAGATATGTGAAGTAAGCACCTTCTTTGGATTTTGTGGCTGTTTCAGCTTCTCACAGTCTCTTTGATTATTACTTTCATACGCATGCTAACAACTGTGTTGTGTTACAGCAGATTCTGCATAGCATGGATCGCTAGCATCTCTCTTGTTGCCTTTTATTTTAACACTTTGTATAGCATATAGTTACCAGGACAACTGTTGTGATTTCCCCTACCTTCACTTTCCTCCATGAGTTAGAAGCATTTTTTCTGTATAGTAACAATTTCCAATTACATTAGCTGTGCTACACGCATAAGAATCCTATTATTTGCATTGTTTTCCCTAAGAGTTCTTTTTTTAAAAGATGACTTGCCACATTTTACCCAAACATGTTTTAGACTAGTAATACACAGCCTTAAAAATTAAGTGAGTCAATTAACTACTAACACACATTACAAAAAGAACAAAAAAACCTGTCATCCAATTTCTGTGTTGCAACATCTAACAGTGTGGTGGTGATCTGTAATTTATTTGGTGTCATCCTGAGCTGATACATCATAATGAATCATTGCCCCAAAGCAGCACCAAAAGGTCATTCTGCAATTATTTTGCTGTATCTCCCACTACTGTACTCCATCCTCCCTCCCCTCCATGTGTGGCTCCAATCACTGTGAGAAAGAGGCACATTTATTTCCTGATTACTTCTGTCTTCCTCCTTTTAAGGCTGTTGGCTGGAAGACAATGGTGTATCAATAGCTCTACTCTTTTCTATACAGTAACCTAAGATCAGAGCAGATCAAAAGATCCAGCTCTTTCTCCATCAAACTCAACAGCTAAAAGATGGAACTCACAAAAAGTGAGTTTCATGATACAGGGTGTTCAATCATATTTATGAACAGCAGAAACAGCATATCTAAAGTAGGATAAACATAACATCAGAGCCTGTTTTTATTAGCCTCAATAAAGCAATAAACTGTGAAAGCTTACATTGTACATGCTTTCTAGTTTAATTAAGTGGGATTTTTTTATTATTACGCATAGATTTGAAATTTTCAAGTAATTGTAGTCTTCAAACTGCATCATTTTTATTTTTTTACTTATTTATTTTTGACTGTCTCTTGACATTGTTTTACCTGAGCCAAAGCTTCCATCAAGTTCCTCACCACCTTCTCTTGGTCCTCAGTCAATATTCTGTGAAGGGTAGCTCTCCTCTCACTATCCTTCTTCAGCATGAAAAACCCAGAATCCTTCTCTTCAGGTGAAGGAGGTGCACTGTGATCCTCAAAATTTTCATCTGGGATGCTGAAGAACAGGCACTCAGAAACTTTATAAAATGCAATCACAATGCAGTAGTTCCTAATCTACTAGGTAACATTAATGCTGGATAGCAGTACTTTACCTCAGAAAAAGGGACCGGATTCCCTTCCCATCTTTTTCTCCACAGGATTTTGCTCTTGTTTTGAAAGAGAACGGATCAATTTTCAACTCTGTATCAGGTGAGACAGAGCCATATTCACTGCTACTACTTGTATCTTCCACCAGAACAGGAACAGGTAAGGATATGCTCCGAAGATACTCTATTAAAGGATATTTAGAAATCAAAATTTAATAGCACCAACACAGTCCTGAAGCAAAGAAGGTTATTCGTTCAGAAAAACAGAAATTCTGACTGCCTTCCCCACCATCAATACAAAATATTAAATAAAAATAAAAATAGAAACAAAAAAAACACAAAAAAGAAACAGAGGGTGGAGATTCATGATCCTTGAGGTCCCTTCCAACCCAGGCCATTCTGTGATTCTATCTTCAGCTACATTTTTATTGAAAATGTTATTCAGATACGGAAACACTGGGCTCTTTGCAAACTCATTTCCAGAACACTGACACCGGAGTGAATGTCCATCACGTATCATTAGTATGCACTCTGATCAGTAACAGCACTTCTATAGGTTAAGCCAGACACCCACATTCTAATAATTTAAATTCTACATATCCTTTTCCACAAACCTTGGCTCTGTTAAAACAAAACAGCCCTTTTGTTTTCTGTTCCGCTTCCTACTAAGGGGTCCTATAACAAATAATAACCCCGTTTTTCAAGCCCACATCACCTACCTGCCTAGACAGTTCAGCCAAGGCAGCACCGCAGTCTTTTTAATTTGCACAGTGAATTAGAGTTTTCTAACAGAGAAGGTTAACTTATTTTCATAGTTGTGCCCACCTCTCTTTGCAAGGATTTAATGTGAGAAATTATACCAGAACAAGTGATAATCACAGTGTCTGCATACTTATGCTCTGATTAAGAAAGTATGTTAAAACTCACCATTTGTGTTAGCTGAAAGAACTGTGGGAGAAAGGTAAAGAAAAAAGTTATAATGCTAAAACAACACAGAAAAAAAAGTGCACTCACTTCTAATTTTTATGGACTAGCTGGATGCTCCTAGCTGCAATTCTTACTTCAAAACTATGATTTATTGCCATTTAAAATGAATTTGAATCCAAAAAAAAAAAAAAAACAAGAAACCAAGTATGTGAAAAGTCCTCATTCAATACCATCTCTTTACATGGTATTTTTTCTTCTTTTTGGTATAATGCTCAAATTATATAGAGGATATTCTTCATATATGCAAACATAAAATACATAAGACTCTAATTCAACTTCTCAAAGCTCCTTAGTTACGTTCCATAATTTAGAACACTGCAGGAAATGAGTGTATAAAAAAAAATTTATACAGATTGCTATGGACAAAGATCATTTTGCTCATATAAAACACTCCTGAGGCTCAATATTATGCTATAACATTATATAAAATGCACTCTCTGGAAACATTCTTTGAATGAAAACATACACAGATTTTTAATAAATAAAATAAACAAACAGATAAAAACTTCTAGGAGTAGTAAAGAGGGAACTGCTTATCTTTCCTCCCTGGTACCAAGTGACAAGGTATGTGGCAATAGCTCAAAGTTGCACCATGGGAGGCTCAGACTAGACATTAGCAAAAGCTTCTTTACCGACTGGTAGTTTGACATTGGAACAGAGAGGAAGGAGGAGCTGACACCCCATGCCTATCAGTGTTTAAAGAGCATTATCAAAATGACTCTAAACGACATGTTTCTGGTCAGTCTCCAAGTAGTTTAAACAGCTGGACTCAATCTTTTACCCTTTTAAATGAAACCATTCTAATTTTATTCTTAAACCTTATTAGACATATTTATATAAATCACCTCCGACAACACATTAGCAGAATTCAGCTATAACAATCTTTCTACAGCTGGAACAAAAGGTTACAACTGAACATTCACCTGAGATGGAGATCTTCCGTCTTCATCTTAAAGACTGAAACACCAGTTTTAGGCAACAATGCCATTTATGAGACAGAAATTCCTTACCCGAGAGTTTTGATGGGGATTTTCTTTTTTTGCTTGAAACCTTCAAGAATTCATCTACGAGGAGCTCATGAGCAAAAGCTCGTTTATCAGGATCTGGTTCAAAGCAACGCAGTATGAACGACTTGGCTTCTGCAGACATGGACTCAGGAATCTCTGGGTGGATTTTAAACATTCCCACCTGGCATAAATAAAGAGGGAGAACAAAAAAAGAACAATGGCTTGCATTATTATTTTCTCAAATACTAAATAACATCATGAGGGTGGTGAGAAGCTGGAACAGGTTGTCCAGTAAGGTTGTGAATGCCCCCCTCCCTGGAAGCACTCAAGGCCAGGCTGGATGGGACTTTGAGCAACCTGGTCTACAGGGAAGTGTCCTTGCCTACAGCAGGGGATTGGAACTAGATGATCTTAAAGGTCCTTTCCAACCCAAATCTTTCTATGATTTTATGATCAAAATGTTTTCGGATAGTAAAAGTTGCATATTGAGTTTTCATATTATCTTTGTGTAAGTACTTGATTAATTCAAGGAACAAAATTACTACAAACTATGTGATTATTCTGTTACATTTAAAAATACAATTCCCAAGAGAAGCTTTGCAAAGCAGAGAACTTGGAACAGCTTTTCTCAGCCTTTTTTTTTTTTTTTTTTCCTTTGTGAATAGCTGCTCCACTACTGTCTTCAAAACTACCCCACACTCGCACTCAGATGAATCAGCTCATTCTTCTTAGCATCCTCATTACCCAACTATTTTCTTTATCTTTTCTTCCTTCCAATCCCAGCCTCTCCAAAACAGTCACAAGATTTCCTGTGTTTATAAAAACCAGCATGAGACATACAAGGAAGATGTCTGACCTTAAACATAGCTGCTTGTGGTTCTCCCAGTTCATAAAATGGGGGTTTCCCCGTAGCCATCTCAATTATCGTGCATCCCAAAGACCAGATGTCCGCAGCCTTCCCATAACCACGTGGCCCTTTGTCAATTATTTCTGGTGCCATATACTGAAGGGTACCTGTTTAAAACACATCCATCTTTGTTATTTAGGTGCATAAAAAATACAAATATCTACATAAGACAAGCAAAATAAGAGGGCAGTGGATGACATCAGGAGAGTTAACAGAAGTACTTTATTGTTCAAAACAAGAATTAGAAGTTTCCAGATGCATTCGACATGAAACTTAAAATACTAATCAAAATATTAGCTGTGCTAAAAGCATCTGATATCATGTACTAATCTGACAATATCTCTTTTCAATGTCCACAGAAGATTATAAATTATACATACATACATATTTATTATTATTATTATTATTTTTACTCTGTTCTATGCGAAGATTAAGAATAAAATAAGGAAGATTACTCTGAATTGAGTAGTAGGGAACTCAGCATGCATTATGAACGCTTTTTCTGAAGGGAATCATCCTGACAGCATTCTGCATTCTGTTGCATTCAGAACAGAAATTTAACAAGGAAAAGAATTAAAATAATGGTCATTTTTCATCTGGAGCAACCATTTAAATCCTGCAGTGGCACCACAGTAAACCCAAATTGAATTATCAAGCAGAAAGAGGATTAAGTTAATGACAGGCCTTGTACTAGATGCCAGGATATCCAACCCAGCAACAGAAGGAAAAAACTGTTACCTCTAGGTCGGCACAAGAAGCCATGTGCACAGAAGAGACACTCAAATATGACAGAGGAAAGACAGTGCTCTTCTGTTGTGGAGGAATGCTGTGTCTCAAACTGAACTTCTAAAACAGTATTCTCTCTGAACAGTACACAGCTCACAATTAACTATACCTTAAATGAGCATGTTCTAGCAGCGACCTTCCATATTGATCTTAAGCCAATGAAAGTTAAGTGGCTATGGAATCTGACCCTATGCTCACAGCTGGAGTGAGCAAAGAATCTCTCCTGGAAACATACCAGTGAAAGTTTCAGTACAAGGGTTGATTCCCGCGAGTCTCTTTGAAGTTCCAAAGTCTGAAATTTTTAACACCCCACTGTAAGTGTTGATAAGCACGTTATCACCCTGAGGAACAAAACATTCAGAGTAATTATTTTTTTCCATTCATCTTAAGACTTCTTGCATCACCTATTTCTAGAATGCTTTTTTAGAACTCTTTTGTAAGCAAAAATTACTTCCTTAGGCTCTTTTGCATATGATGAATGAGTAATCAATTGCAATCCTGCCTTATGTAATGCCATTATCAGAAACTTCTTTGCAAAGTGACCATCTCCATCTACAAGAATCCGTTTAAATAGTACTATGAAAAACATCTTAAGAAAAAGAACAACAACAACAACAACAACAAAGCACCTTTGCAAGTCTAGAATCTCCTTGGAAAATAAGCTGCTGATATCCCCGCTCACAGTCTTTGTTATTTCTGATATGTTTGTATGAAAGCTCAATCATATCATTGAAAATAGAAGCAAAAATACATGCTTTCTCACATTTGATGCATCTCTGTCAGTTTTCCTGAACAAAACAAAACACTCTGTTTGTGCAGATTTGAATTACAACAGCTCACTTACCTAACCCATGGAATAGCAGAGAAGGTCTGTGACAATGAATAGCTTTCAGGAAAAAGCTTTTAAATTACAGAACAAATAAATAGTTTATATAGTTACACCACCAGGCTTAAGCTCAGCAAATTCTCACCTTTATGTCTCGATGCACTATTTGATTATCGTGGAGGTATTTTAATCCTTCGAGAATCTGCTTAGTGTAAAAGCCAATTGTCTGCTCATTATTTTTTAATGGTCCCCATTTTGATCGTAGAAGAGCAGAAAGACTGCCTGTAAATTTGGAGAGGGAAAAAAATGAGAGTAAAACCAAATTAAACCCTACCTTTTTCCCAAAGGATAAACAAAGTAACAAGGAGCAATCCAAAATAAGTGTAGGTACCTCTTCTATAACCAAAGAGCTCTCCTGGAAATACTTTCTTGCATCATCACCTGCCTCACTAATTAAAAAGAGAGTAAGTATCTCCACAGGTCTTAGCTGTAGCATAGAAATACATGCTCTCTCAAGCAGGCAGACTGGAAACTGTGCAACAAACGTGCTCATCTCTCTCTTATGCCTGGGGAGAAGTTGCTCAAGAGCTCTGTTGTGAAACAGCAAAAAGGCCTGGTGTTCACATGCACCTTTCACCTATTTATATACTCAGAATCCACAGCTTCTCAAAAAGCCAAATCTAGCAAGAGGTTTTTATTATGTCTGGCTGCTGTAGGTTCTTCCTTATCAAACAGAAGCAACAATCACCAGCCACAATCCTCTTGTGTTCCATACTTGAAGGGGGCTCAGCTACTTAAGGCTAACTACATACAGCATTCCTTAGTAGGATGGCTGCTGATCACCTGCCACAGCAATGACCTGAGCTGTATCTGAAGCACGTCCTACCTAAACCCTGATCAAGAGGATTCAAATGCTTTGAAAACCCTTACAGATTTTTTTTTTTCCTCATTAATTCAAAAAAGAGAAACTAAAGGATGTTACATGGAAATATGGTGTATCTTAGTGCAGTGTGATGGTTCTTTTATTTTTAAAACCTTAAGAAACAAACAAGGTACCAAGCCAGCCTCCATAACTTACCACCAGGCACCTGCTCCATGAATATCTTAATGAAACCATTCTCGCTAAGAGACCCCAAATACTGGACAATGTTCTTGTGTTTGAGATGCTTATGCAAGGCTATTTCTTCATGCAGAGGTTGGGAGTATCTAGAAAAAAATTAAAGAATTTATACAATATTGAGCTTCAGGAAGAAAGTCTTGAGTTTAATGTAGCTGTTTAGTTCTATTTTAGGTCCTGTGAAACACATTTACTCTGATGTACTATGAATACAGATATTGAATACAATATCTGTTAAACACATTTGGCATTGCTGGTTATAATCACCACAGAGTAAAAGAAATAATTCACTGCTTTTTTTTTTTTTTTGTAAACTCAGTTCCACTTGGGAAAAAAAATTAAAAAATCATGTTTAGACTTCTCAAAATATTTGTGGAAATTATATATTCAAGAAGCCACACACAACAAACTTCAGGATATACAACTGCAATGGGGATCACACATCTGGCCTTTACATGGTAACTTTTATAGATGAAGTGGGGTATTGTACGTACAAAGTCACTGTGTTACCGAGTGTGGGCAAAAAGATCATTCCACATTCTAGTGTTAAGGAGCGTTCTAACAAAACACGCACGAACAGCAAAAGAAAATGTCTTTATCAACAATTCAGGATCAGAGTTTAAAAGAATTCTGCCAATTATGAAATTCAAAAGTTCTTTTATAAGAACATGCTTATACACGTAAAGAAGATGGGGCTTTCATAAGGCATTTGAGGGAGGTTCTGTTTTACGTTTCTTTTGGAAAGAAAAAAACATTACAAACCACACATGCCAAAAACCAGAAAGCAAATTCTCAGTTGTTGCAATCATAAGTGATTCCACAATTTGGATATGTCTGTTTAGAGAAGTAGAGAATATAATTTCATACCACAATTTATTGGCAGCACTGTAGATGAGATATTTCTTGATCAGCAAACTGGTTCACTCAATTGCTTAATGAGAGCACATAACGCACAAAATTTGGAACAAGATTCAGTTACTATACCTGCTATCTCTCTCTGGGATTTCTTTAATAGCAATTCTGACTTGATTGCTCAAATCTCGTCCTGCATACACAATGCCATAAGTTCCTTTCCCCAGAACGACTCTCTCGCCGTTTTCATCATACTCATAGTCATACTGAAAACAAACATGAATGAAACAGAGGGATAAGAATTAATTAATCTGACTCTATGCACAACAACGGCATTTAGCATACTAGTTCCTTTCTGTGGACCATGGAGAAGTGGAAAAACACTTCAAGATGGCAACTTGGATATCGTACCAATGTGCTTATATCTCTCCACTGAATTTATGGAAAGCCTCAGCTTCTAAGGCAGCCATTCCAGGTAAGCGTAAGAAAAGCTGAGCTAGTTGTTACCTGTTCTTCATAGTTACACTCTTATCTTTTAATAGCACTTGCAGCTCTGCTGGCAGGCCATGAAAAGGCAGCGGAAGACAACAGAGGGCACTCTGCACCCAGCTGAAAACTTCAGCTTCCACAGACACACAAATCAAGGCAGGACACAGTTTATCCCAGACACTATCCTGACCTGACCACATCTTCCAAAACCAACAAAACTATCCTGGCCAGGCCAGACAGCAAAATGTGCCAATGAAGGTTAGTCATTATTGCAGTGCATAGTTACATTCAGCTGAATTAAAATTTCAAAGAGTTTAAGGACAATCCAGAAATAGTCATTCAATTATCTCATCTGTCCTCTTGTGTAACACAGGCATAATTTCACTTCCTTGCTCTCATGCTTAGCCCAGGAGCTTGTATCTGCTGAGATACAGAGAATCCGCTACTTCTTTTAGTAATGTTTGAACAGTTAATTACTCTCAGGGTAAAGTCGTGCCTCTAATTCTAACTTATTTCTTTATTTCATTATATTTTTCTTTACTAAAGAATCTATTAATTTTCAGCAGTTTTCCTTGTAAAGATACTTACACCCTGTAAACACGTGACCCTCTGCTTTTTTCTTGCTAAAATAAACCTATTAGGTACCCATGGTTTCTCATTTTGGGGCATTTTACTATCCCACAACCCTCTCTAGAGGTTTCTATTTGTCCCATCTCCAATTTGAGATGTATTATGAAAACACCAACATGAAAACTGGAACAGAGAGCTGGATTCATTATACAATACTGACTTTTTCAGTTAGTTTTGGTTGACTCTACAACTTTAGTACAGAGTCCTAAATATTTTGCCCTGTTTCCTGCCACCTAAAAGACTGTCTAAACACCAGGTACTGCATTACACCTAACAGCCTTCTATTCACTTCTCAACTATGTGTACGATCACAGAGAAAATCAAGGTGAGAATACAGCAAGTGATCGCATACTGTGCATGCTGTGACTTAGCTAATGTGTGAGAGAGCAGGAGCAGGGCACCCCTGGATGCATTCAAGGCCAGGATGGATGCAGACTGGTCTAGTGGATGGCAACCCTGCCCAAGGCAGAGGGGTTGAAACTAGATGATCTTTGAGGTCCTTTTCAACCCAGGCCATTCTATGATTCTGTGATTCTATGACTCTAAGATTCAGTGTGCATTAGAGAGCTAAGGGAAGAATGACTGACTCCCAGCAGATTATCTGATTTGTTTTTGCAGTTCATTGCCATGTTTGCCCATACGTATTGTAACTAGCATGCACAAGCTTTCCCCTACCACAATTACATCCTTGTTTGTTGTGCAGATGTCCTGCCAATAACGTAATCATACACAATTGCAGTGATGCATGAAATAGACAACAACCTTTCAAATTTAAACAGATGCTAATATTGCCTGACTGTGACTACACCCTAAAGAAACTATAGCAAGAATCACTCTGTAATAACTGCAATTATTGAGAACTTGGGTTGAGCACTTCCTCAAGCAAGTAAGATAACTGAAATACAAGTTGGTTATAAAACCTAGAAATGAGCATTACGACAAATCATTAACTTATAAAGATTAGATGACAAAATTTTGTAAACTGTATTTTTGTCTGACTTCTTCCAGTGAAGGGATGAGTAATTTTACTTCCTTCAGTCAAGCTACTAGAAACTCAAAATAGTTGAAATGATGCTTTGAAAATAAGCTAAAATAAATAACTACCTCCAGGGAGTCTCCATCACATTCTCCTTCCTCTGTAGACTTCCCTATTTCTTCAGTGATGCTGTTCACCATGTCAAAAAACCTTTTGAAAGCAAGTAAAACAAAATATAAAAAAAATGCAACCACATACTCAAGACTGCATGGGGATATCGGGAATGCATCTCACTAAAGCGTTGAACGAACCAGAAGATTTTAATAAGCAAAAATTGTGTGTAAAAGTTAGCTTGCCTGCAAAATAAATAAACAAACAAACAAACAAATAAATAAAAGAATGAATGAATGAAGGTATTACTATTACTTATGGCTTGTCCTTCTTTGAAAGCACACTTCTGTCTTATCTTCCGAGTAATGACAAAACATGAATGGGAAGAAAAATAGTAGAACTTATGCAGACTAGAATTGATGGGAAGACAAGGTAGGGACTAATCTTTCAGGTAGTCATGTTCATTACCTTGAAGCGACACAGTGATGTTCGGTATGGTAGCAGCATTTTTAAGTACAAATATACAAGACATGTTCTCCAGGAATGCCTTTGGGACTAATTCAAGATTTTAGACCTCAAGCTTAAAGAGCAGAAGCACAGCATAGAGCAGGTAAGAAACTTTGTGCAACAAACACTTGCCAACTTTGTTGGAGGGCTATTTATAAGATCAGACTTATATAATCATGATAGTAACATACATGACATCAAGGTTGTTTGTTTGTGATGAGAAATAAAATTTTAACTACAGTAAAGCAAAAAACCTTCACTAGCTCTCCTGGACCATTATTACCCCAAACAGTGCCACTGCAGAAAATCTGTTTGTAAGTTTAGGCTGCTTTGTTCAACTGGGGACAACACATACTTGTAATAAGCCCTAATATGACAAATATAGAGAAATAATACCCCAAGATTTGTTGGAAAAAAAAAAAAAAAAAAAGTTTGTAATTATGCATTTCTATTATTTGTCTGAATTTGTGTTTTGACCCTCCAAAGTTCATGCATCTCTGGGGGAGTCCTATGCTTTCACATAAAAGATGATTTGAGCATCCTCACTTGTCACCAACTCCAACCACAGTTCTGAAACAGTCCCTGCTGTACATACAGACACTGCAACCCTCAGCATAGAGTGGTTTTTGAAATAACTGTGACCCACCTTCTACAATGAACTTCCGTGCAGAAATAGATTTGAAAGTCATCGGAATTGTGCAGCACATACAGAAAACAGCACCGTTCTTCAAACTTCGAAATGCTGAAAGAACAGCCAAGCAGAACACATTATTAGAAAAGTGCATTTGGGGTTCTGCCACCTATGTCAAATCGTACAGACCAACACAAGTATTGTCAGAAAGCACCAGATAAAACATGAAAAAACACAGTCTTTCCTTACAATGAAATCACATTCTTAAATCTTCAAAGTTCACATTCAGCTGTCTGCTGTCATTCATTTTGTCCCCTAGTTCATACATCGCACTTGCAAAAGTAAGAACAAAAGTTCCACCCAGGCTGGATGGGACTTTGAGCAACCTGGCCTAGAGAGAGATGACTGCCTATAGCAGAGGGGTTGGAACTAGATGATCTTAAAGTTCTCTTCAAACCCAAACCATTCTATGTTCCTACGATAAATTAACAGGATTATTTCTATTGACATGAGACTTTTTTTTCCACTGCATTTAGGTAAATGCTGATCTCGAAGCCAGGATGAAAGATCACTTCAGGTTCACGTTAGAAAGATTTGAACTCAAATCATGAATTCTTTCCCCTTTACAAATCAGCCACAGCTCACTCTTGAACGTGAAGATTTCTGATCGATTCATAAGGAATTGGTAAATTGATATTATAATGGAAAAACATGTCTAAATAAGGTCAGCATCATAAATAAAATAGAAATGAGACAAACAACTTTGCCAGTGTTGCCTACCCCCTTCTTCATTTTTGCTTTTACCCATTACAAATGGGAGTACAAATATAATGAAGAGACATGCATGCCATTTTCTTATGAATGCATAGATGCTTCAGCAAAAGAGGTACAGACTCTGGGACTCTGGCACAGTTGTCAATACTCTACCTAATGTAGGCTGCAGCTTTTGCAAGATATCCATTTGCTACATTATTTTATTTTTTTCAAATGTACAAATGATTATTGTGCTCCTTAAAGGAAATATTAAAAACTATTTGAAACTGGAACAAATTAAGATTGCATATTATCATTCTCAAGATACAATACAAAAGCCATGTTGCTAATTAAATCAACCTATTTTTAGTCAGATCAAGATATCTATTGTGGTTTTAATTTATTTATTTATGCAAAATAAAGCAGAACGGTATTCTACACTGCACTAAAGAATTTTTTCTTAGATGTCAGGAAATATTTGTAGTTATCAAGATTTAATGCATCTATGGTTGCTTGACTGTTGATTCTCTTTTATGACTCCCTTACTTTATATCCCTTGCAAGAGCTTTTGGTAAAGAAACTGCTCTTCAGACAAACTGGACACATGCATTTCATAAAGCTACTTATGACAAGCCAAACTGATCACTACTTCAGTATAGTCACTTTAGGTGTTGTCATTCAGCTATTTTTGTCAAGAAAAATTCCTATGTGCTAAGTGATGCATACATCTGGGAAGACAGTCACTGTCCCTGGCTTAATTTACCAAATTTTTTGAGAATATACACAAATTCTACAGATATGAAGTTATTTATGTGGATATTACTAATTCATCAAAAGTTCCAGGAGAATGGAAATATTTTACTAACCCAACATATACAAAAGCCACTTGACAGTACTGAATAAATGGGTAAGAACATAGCGTGTACACTAAGGTAATTCATACAGGTATAAGGCTTTTAATATTGAATACTTATAAATGTTTATATGCATTCTTTTCCTCCCTGAAAAAAAAAAAGTCATTAACATGAAGAAAGGAAGACAAAAAATATCAAGCTATAAAAACAAATTGGATAAACTTTCTCAGGAAACATCTCATTTTCAGAGTTATTGAGCATGTCTAACACTCACCAACTTCTATGACAACAGAATTGGAGCTGAAATTGCAAGTTTCAAAAGACAAGCAGGGAAACACAATGCAACATGGCCTTGGGCCCAAATCACATGCATACAGAACTCCCATTAGCTGATGACGAATACTGCAAATTCTGTAACTACTGCTTCCTGACAATTCTAGATAAAGTAACAGATAAAACAAGCAATGGCAGAAACCACAGAAGTGCAGCTTTGCAGATTTCTGTTTTTCAGAAATGAGGATGGAGACAACTTCCACTCTAACAACTAAGTAGCCTGATAAGATTCTAAGTTCAGTGAAGTCAGGATGGAAAATTAACATCCTTGTTAATTCTTAAACTATGGGAAAAAAAAAAAAAGTCACTGTGTTTCTAATGCAACATCTATCATCATGATCCCTGAGGCACTTCCCCGTGGAAACAACACAAGTAGCAGATATTTCACAGTTCAGGGCTTGTCCTGAATATCAAGGAGATTCCAACTTGTAATCCATCTACCAGCTTCATCCTGCAACTTAAGTTTTCATTTTTAAACATGAAAAATAGATGGCATCTTCTTGCTTATGTGACAAATACTAGGGAGCTTCCTTGATAACTGGAGAAAGTGATGCAAAGCACCTTTGGGAAGCAGCTGAGGTCCAAAAGCTCTGACGAAGCCTTTAAGGATTAACAGTGCTTCTTGGTCCAGTTCAATAAAAAACATTTGCATTTGAGGCCAAGAAGGCAAAAAATGAAAGCAGAGTTATTTACATTAGAACACAAATTCTAATCAGTTACAGTTGAAATTTTTATTATTATCATTATTCTTTAAGATAAACCCAGTAAAAATGGCTTCCTGCAGGTAGAGTGCAATTCAGAACTATGTTCAAGTTCCTTTGAAACTCCTGAGCGCTAAACTCCATTACTCATGAAATGAGATGCTGATTGCACTGGTTGATAAAGAGCACACAGAATAAGTGACCTCTCAATTATTTACTTAAAGTATTTACCTAAAAAATTAGTCATTTCACTGCCAGATATCTCTTGGCAGCAGGGCTGAAGAGACGGTAAATATTTAGAAGGGTCTTTGTTGAGAAAGCTTTCAGGAGCATGTACAAAGACTCTCTCTTACATTAACACTGTGCTTCTAAAGCTGGTTCTTAGTCTAGAAGGGCAAAAAAAATCCTCATGGGGCAGGGAATTTCCCTTCCTAGACAGCTTTACATCTAGGGCTTCAAAGGAGTAAAAAATATTCTGGATACAAAAATAAATTAGAGGCAGGTCTGGTTCTGAAGGAAGTTCCACCCACAAAAATATCCACCTTGATAAAGTCAAGAAGAAAATCATATAAAAATACTGAAAGAAGATGACAATCAGATAACTGCATGCTTGAAAAATAGATTTACTTGGTTTTACAACTGCGTAAGATGAAAGATTTCCCCCTTCAGGCCCTCATGGAGGCAGACACTGAGTCTTCAAAGAATTCACTCTTGGCTCGATTGACTCACTTTACAGTTTTCCAAGGGCAGATGAACAGATTGGAATCTTAGCAGACAAATTAAATGACTATTGACAGTTTAAATAACGAATGAGGGAGAGTACACCAAAACAACACTAGCCACAGCAGAGTTTAATAAAGCCAAAAAAATATATCAAAATTGGGCAATAAATACACATATTCTTTTTTTAGAAGCACACAAAAACATGCTGTAACCAAAACCCAAACCACACCGAACTATGCATATCGTTGCAATTTTGGCTTAAAATAAACTGAATCCCACAGGATTAAATTTCTGTGTCTATTGATAGTTTGTTTTTTTTTTTTTAAGTTTGTTGTTGGAAGGAAAAAGAATCATCCATCTGTGCAAAAATGTACTGCAGACATAGCAACAGCTTTGTGTGTATGGAACAGTTATTCTTAGAACAGAGCAGTGACTATTTTGAAGAATATAAGATTTCTGGCCTTTTTAAAATTATGCTAAATGCAAACTCCAAAATGGAAAGCCACAGGAAGCCCAAATATAGACAGATCCTAGAAAAAAGTAAATGAAACTAAGGTGATGATCTGATCTAAAGAGATCATAGAAGCAGAACACTAGTTTCTTAGACTCAGCAGATAAAAATCAGAAGGCTGGACGCTATCAGACAGAAGCGAATACTACATTCAGTCTGGGCTCACTTCATGATCTATCCACTGCTCTGCTGCACTCTGTCATCACTGCAGTGACAGTCTGCCCTTCCTATGTTCTGAAACAGTTTTGCTGCCATACCTATAAGCAAACACACAAAAGAGAAAACCACACACATCCACAGCAAAACCCAACAAGAGATGAGTGATCAGGATACTTCAAGGCACACCAACCTGTTCCCCACCCGCAAAACTTTGTTGATTCCTCATATCCTTCCTGCTTGTTTCCGCATTACTTCCTGGCTTACATATTGTAGTTGTCAAGAACCTGTTTCAAGGACTGCCTTCCTTGTGTTAACAGTTTCCTAGCATGTCAGAATCTCAGTGCACAACTGCATCTCACGGATGTGACACAGCTCAAGCAAGATGACATGAAACGTTAGCAGTTATTGCAATTCAACCTCAGTTAGCATAAAGCGGTAACAAACTTTGAGAAAGCATCAGTTCGAAAATCTAAGGGATTATAGTCTCTATTTTTTACATAACTAACTTTGCAGGTGGTCATTTCTGAATCTAGAGTAAGACTCCTGGGGTGTCACACAAAGCAGGGCATCTCCAGAAGTACTTGCAATATTCAGCTCCAATATTCTGTCTGTTACTCACCAAGTTTCACAGCATTAGCTCAACATGAGACTCAATTACTTTTTTCATTTCCAAGCACGAAGGGCAAACAACTTACCTTACTCCCCTGATGGACGCAGCACTGAAGTTCCACTCATGGATACCTTTCTGTAACACAAGAAAAAACAAAGTTCAACGAAACCCTCTTCCTTTACGAAAACAAAGAGCCAGTAGGCATATCTTCTCACATGTAACTCAAGAGACCAAAAGAGAAATATTAGGATTATAACAGCCTACTACTTCTCAACAGTTATTCTTCAGGGCATTTTTTTTTTTTCACCTAAAAAGCAAGAAAAGCTTATAAAGAAGGTTTGGCTGGTTTGTTCCTTCACTGTTTGTTCTGCAAACACAATGTATTATTTTAGAAATAAAGTAAACTAGCAGATCAGAAGGGTGTGCCCATACAGTCTGTCCTGGGTGCTGAACTCAGCTTCGTGTGCAACCTTCCAGAAAGAGAGGGGAAAAAAAAAAATCCACCTCTGAGAATGACAAGAGCTCATTCTACACATTCAGTGTCCTCTGTGTACAGGAATAATTGGCTGAGAGCACTACAAAGCAGGAAGCCTGACCGACGCTGGAGAGTAAAATGGGAATTTTTTGAAATGGAGGTGCAATTGCTCAAGGAAGGGGCAAATCTAAAGGCCAGCTGTCCAAAGAAACAAAATGGAGACCATTTCCCTAGGAATCCAGAAGAGAGAATTAAGAACATACTAAAATCCCTAAGAGCTGTTGAAGCAGTAAACAAGACTGGAAGACACCCTACACAAACTCCCAGGGCCAGGCCTCATTTATTTTCAGATCTTTTACCTGTTGATCCGTCATGCATGGCGGAACTGAGTTCTCTCAGCAGACAATCACGTTGATCTGTGCTTAAGTTCTAATAAAGTTTTACTGTAGGAATCAGAAGTCCTTCATATCTTTTAAAACATTAAAACATTAAAACATTCACCTTTCAGGAAAATGGGGAACTACATCAGCTGGAAGTGTGACAAGCTTAGGACCCTCCCCATGAGCAACATATTTGAAGAAATTGGTTTCCAGAGCTGAACTGCACTGAGCATTTTAGTCACCTGGGCAATAAAAAGGTATGGAAACATTTCCAGCCAAAAGGCAATTTATAGCATAAGGGCATAGTGTCAAACACAGACATAATCAAGTCTATCCCAAAGGAAGCATTGCATATACTGTATTTTATATATCCTGTTTTAGGAATGGTGAAGTACACAGAATAGATGCACTACCAAAATAGTTGTACAATATGCACGAAATGAGAGAGGAAATCAAACTCTCAGCTACAGCAGTTCTGTAAGGCTTACCAGATCAGTCTTTTTATCTCTGTAATTCTTTCCTTCCTGCTCAAATTTCATTAAAGAGGTTGCAAGGCTAATGCAAAATGCCGAACACAACATACTGATAAATACGTGCAAACTTCACATAGCCCTAACTGTAAGGCACAAAGCTGTAACTACAGTAACCTTTCAATTCTAAATGAGCCAGTGCTAGTGCGAAGTGCCTGTGGAAGTACTATTCAAGTTGCCTGGCTCTCCTGTATGAACAAAGATCCCCTACTAAATCCCTCTGCTAACAAGGAGGGTGTATCTGTGTTCTTCTTTTATGCTTTACACTGTATATGAGCTCTGCTACTTCTCAATTTTCCATGTCTGGAAACTCTTTTTCCAGAGTTTTGCTATTGATATTTGTCTAATTCCCTGCACTGGGAATAACATAATATCTAAATGATCTAAAACAAACATCCCGCAAGCAGAAATGTGCAAGTAGCACAGCAAGAAACAAAGTATTGTGGGCTTTACCTATAATCAACATGCAACTGATTTCTCAGAGATTCATATATCTTTAATTTACCAAATGATGTTTTCAGGCAATGAAATAATATAAAAGCTATGTCCCTCAAAGATCTTGCCAAGTTTTGAATACATTGGAGTAAACATATCAGGCACGCTATCCAAATTCAGCATCTGTTCTTGGGTTAGGCAAAAAAAACCACCAACCACCCAAAACAAAACTCAAAATGGTTTCAGAAGCCAACACGGAACAGAGACAGGCTGTTCTATTTCAAACTTGCTAACAGCACTGCTGCATTCCTCTAACTCTATGTGGAAGGGACTGCTAAAATTAGAGAACTGCAGGGCAAAGGTAATCTGTATTCCACAAAACATAATGCCATCTGATTTTTATATGCATTTGTCTATGTAAAAACTTGGCATTATTAAAGAAAGAAATATTAAAATAAACTGCTAAAAAAAAAAAAAAAAAAAAAAAAAAAAAGAGAAAGGCCCTGTTATTTATCCTGGTATTCTCCTATTCATTACCAAATTGCCAGCTGCAGGCTTAAACAAGTTACATTTTGTATTTGAAGCAGAATTTCAGCTTCTATGTGCACAAAGGGAAGTTCATATGCTTGATAACTCACGATTCTTATTCTTAAAGCAATGGTTTCATTTTGAAAATGAAGAAAATTTCTTTTTTTTAATGAACTGAAATCTGAAGCATAAGCTGCTCTAACTTAAACAGACCTTTGCTAGGTAGATTAAATTCATATAGCTGAAGCCATTTCCAAACCCAGCTGTCTCTTCTATCCTTGTAGCCGGGACAGCTGGCCTTTGTTAATCAGCTCCTACAAGGCCTGTCATCAGCCTTGAAAGGTCCAAAGAAAGAGCCTTCTTCACTGCAGTGGGCTGAAATACATCCATTTAGTTCACGAAGTCTCTCAGCAGAGACAAATGCTACACTAGTTATATTTACCAGTTACATTGTATCTTCAAATTTTTCTTGTACCTTTTCTCCGTTTGAAGTTTCTGATGGATTCTGATGCTTTTTGACAAAATTTTAACAACAGATTATGACAGTACAGCTGAACTTCCAACCAACAAATTGCCCACTGCATTCTTTTGATGAACATTATGGCTTGTAAGGCAGAGATGCCTGCACTGCATACCCATCAGCTCTTAACATACTGTATAAGCTCACTACAGTAAGGCCAGAGCAGAAGAACCAGTGAGTGCATCAAAAGCTGTCCTTATCTATTGTCACTGATCATCAGTAGGGCAGCAAATGTAGGAAAACAGTGATGTGCAGAAAATACATAGATGTGCTGCCAAAATCAGAAGGGGGTCAGGGGAGGGGAAGTATTAAATGCTACAATAGAATATCAGGGGGAAAAAAAAAAAAAAAAAAAAAAAAAAAACAAACAAAGAAAAATAAACCAAATTTACAATAACAGAAACAAAACAGTAAAGCACCAGTTACACCCCAGAAAACCAAAATACTTTTCTGCTGAACAGATACAGACTGAATACAACCAGATCCTTCTCCCAGTCATAGGATGATTAGGCAGCCAAGTGACAAAGCTATGGGAAAAGCTACTGCTGAAAGCATTAAGCTAAACATCCCTGTAAGTACAAGGAATATTAACACACCATCAAGTAGCTTTTTAGGAATATGAGCATATATGATCAAGTAAGTTAAACTGGAATACAAGCAGTGAGATGTCACATGCAGCCAGTACAGCAGCCCTACTTGTTTTGCCTGAAGAAAATACGTAGAGATACCGAGATTCCCATCAAAGATAATATCAGGCAAATGGCAAATAATCATTTAGCATAAGTACAGTGTTAGCAAAAGAAGTTGTGAGTATGAACTGGCTACAAATTCAGAGTGAAAGCTCAACGACCTAAAGTAGCATACTGCTGCTTCACCAGTGCTATTCCACTCCAGGCTTTAGTAGAGGTTTTGATGACACACTCGAAACACTTTCCAGTGTGAAGAGTCAGTTGTGAAACCTACACTAGTATTCAGACTAAGATTTATACTATTCAAAAACAGAATATTAAGGGATTCTTCAAAGAGGAACATGACTAAATAGCCCAAACATAGGACTACAATATCCTGTGTTCCCCCAACACTGTACAAAAGACCCTAATCAGAATATAATGCCCCGTTTGGATACGAATTACACACACAAAAAGCTCACTATATCTACAAACACGAACTCATGTGTACAACTAGTTTCTAAACCAACTGAATTCTAAATACAGAAGTACTTTCAGAACACACGTTTTACAGCAGCAAGATTTACTCTGTCATACTGATACAAATAATTGTTCATTATGTGGTTAATTCTGTTTTTCTCTGGAAATTGCATAAATTTATCTTCTAACTTTATTTTCACATTCTGAACCTACCTGCGAAAACGCAACCAGAATGAGCTACAGATGAACATTCTAGGCAAACACCTCAGTTTGTTCCCAAAATAAACTATTTCAGCCACAGCTCAGTTCTGTTCCTTCACGAACTTTTAACAAAAATTCTAATTAGTGCTGCCTCACATAGAAAAAAATGCTTCTCTCTTAAAAGCACATATATAAAAGCTGAAGGATGGATCACCTAGCAAATAGGTCCTTTACTGTCCTATCTTGCAAGGATGCTGCCACAGAAGAACGAGCAGTGCTAGTTCTAGAAAACACACTACCTTCAGTGTTCTGTTTCCAGCTGATTTGGCCTCTATCAATTCTTCATATAACCCTCCCAGGTTTCCATGCTCCCTTCCTTCTCTAAGGCCTTAAAAATGTGTTCTGTCTTCACTCTTACCAACATTTTTCTTCCTAAGCATCCCAGAATGTGATCACAGAATCACAAAATTGTAGTGGTTGAAAGGAAACTTTAGAGATCACTGTGTCCAGCTCCCATGTATGGTGATAACCATTCAATGCTTTCCTCTCCTCTTGCATCTCTGGAATTTCTAACCTTCTTTCCAAATATGTAAGGCTTTCTCACACCTCAACTTAAGTTCTTCTCAGCTCTTCCATTTGCAGTACCTCCTGAGCATCTATCTGTCCCTATGCCAAAAAGATTCTTTGCCTCTTCATTTATTTCACTGCCATTTAAGGGCACACCAGTCTCCAATGCTTTCATATTAGAAGAGTATTTACCACAGCAGACAAGCAATGCTGTGAGTATGGGAAGAAGAAAGCTTTGTGTACATACGCATTACGTGACATCATTCGGACTATGCACGTTATTTACAAAGTCTCAAGCAACAGACTTGTTCATATTAAAAACAACCTGGAAGAAGCTGCATGTTGTTTTTAAACATGGTGGATGCAGAAGATCCATTAAGGAACAGGACAAATTCTAAAGAAAAAATTAAGAATGATCTGTTTAAAACAAAAAACACATGACAATGTGTGGGCAAAGCATCTTCAGATATGCTAAAAACATACCCTCTCCTTCACAGAATTTGACATTAGATACAACTGCTTGCATGTTACATGACTTACAAGCCATGCACTTTTAAATTGGGAAAGAAGTTACAACTACAGAAACATCATAGTACCTTGTCATCGGGCAGCACATGCCAGATAGATACAGTCTTCTCCTCAGCTTCACTGTTGATGGACAGATATGAGGGCTGATAGATTTTGGTTGGCTCCAATATTAAAACCTTGTAGAAAAAAAAAAAAAAAAATCTTAAGAGTTAGTAAAAATAAAGTAATAAATATAATATAAATAAAAATAAGTAAATAAGTAAATAGTTACCCAATAAGTAAAACATAGGAAATCTGTACTAAAATCTGTTAAAACTTTATCTGTAGCCATATCATAGCAGGAAAAAAAATAAAGTAAACAGGATGAACAATAAAAGTTTTAGGTACTAAGCTAGTTTACTGTGGCTCACAGTAACTTAAGATAAAGAAAACATCAATTTTCTTTTTTTGAGTTACATGTCACTCGATTGTATATATCTTAAATTCCAAACGATTTCTCTGACACCTGTCACATTTGAAATCCTTCTATCACAAGTCTTCCTTTTACAATGCCGTTTGAGAATGTCCATATCCAACATAGACAGGATTCAGGGTGTAACTTAATTATTTTTTACAAAAGTGCATTTGGCTAAAACAGAAAAACAGATCAACCTACAATTAGAATGACCTGCTTTTGATTTAGAACACCGTGAACCACAGCAGCCAGATTAAATGATTTTTTTCTCAAAAGCAACATGCACTGCTACAAAAAGCAGACAGTTAAAGTTAACAGAAAGTTTCCTGGTACAAATACAAACAAAGAAAAACCTAGAATCTTCATGTAAAAGTGATGGGATGCAGTGCAGTAAGATTTGGTCTGAATATGGCTACTGAGTACATGAAGCCAACTTGCTACTTCAATAACGTTCTGCCAGAACTACTTCCAGGTCTTCACTATTTAAAAGCCAACAAAGCTCAGCTATTTGAAGAAGTATGATTTCTCATTAAAGCTTCTTATGTCTTTATTTTGGATTTTCAGTGGTTAAAAAAATCTGATGTCTAAAATGTCCAATCTTTAGTGCCTCCATAGAAGATCTTCTCATTCTGAAGAATGGGAAACATTGCTATTAATTCAAGAAAAAAACCTACCTTTCACCAAACTACTTTTTGGAGTTTAAAGAATTGCTTTAGAAAGTAAAGCCTGGTCTACATCTATGTTTTAAAAAGAAAGCCCATAAAATCTAACAGCTAGAGCACAAAGTCTAGGAAAGACTAATCAGTCAAATCTTAGTCTCAGCAACTCCTACTGAGTCAGTGAGCGCATGGACACATGACAGAAGTGCAAGGCTGTAGTCTGAAAAGTACCATGGCAGTTAACTGGGTGACCAAATGCATCGCCCTGCATCTTCAGTCACTTACAGTTGTTAAAATCTGGTTTCGACCATTTCATGAACTGGTGTCTTATCCTCAGTTATCCCAAAGCTACCCATAAGCTGCATTATTTCTTCCTCTAATTGCTGCAAAGAGGATCACGACTCTGAGGCCAGCAGCTAGGAGACCAAGTGATAGTTCAGCAACTACCAATTACTAGAGAAGTCCTTAAGTTCAAGCTCTGAATTTCTACAAAAAGCTTGTTATCGATGTTATTTGTAAGTGTAAAGATGTAACTATGCTTCATTTTGTTGACTTGTCCCACCACGTGATTTTGCTTTCAAATAGGCACAAACAAAATCCTTTTATTAGGAGAGTCACATATGTCTGTCTGCAACACCACTACAATTTCCTGCCTCAGTCTGTTGCTGTTCAACACTACCATCTCCTTTATTGTTTATTATCCCATTTACAGTCTGATGTCAGAAGAACTGCACAAAACAAGTATGCCCTTGAAGTACTGGGGGGTCGATAGTGACTACCACCTAAAAAGATGTATTTGCCAATGGTTAGCTAAAAGGAATACTCAATACATTATTTCTCCTACATATATCACTAATATGTATCACTAATATACAGAGGCGACAAAGAACAGCACATTTTAGTACACCAGGGTATGTCATAAAAATCTTTCAGCAAAGTATTCATGAAAGAAACCATAAAAGTATACATAAGTTTATTGCACTGTTGTTGAAATATATTAACAGCTGAATAATAAAAAAAAAAAGATTTATTGCTGTTTGGTCTGATTTCTAAGCTCTAATAGGCAGCAGGCTGTGTAAAAAGTCTGTTGAGTCAGTGAGACTGAAATTAAGTGTCTTTTCTTCAGAACATAACATAATATAGTATTACACGGAATACACTGCAGAATTCTGCTTTAGAACATTGGTAGCAAGCATTAAATAATAAAATAATATTCTGACTTTTTTACAGTATTTTATTGGAACAGATTGTGCAATTCCATTGTAGCCATGTGAAATCAATTAAAACTAGTTCAGTATGCAGGCCAAATGCATTTCTTCTGGACAAGCAGTTTTTTTGTCTGGGAACCTACAAACAAGCAGTGTTTTGTCTTCATTTCCTACATGTCACAATTAAAAACAAACCAACAAGAAAACACTTACTGGAAATCTAACTACAGACACATCTGTCTTTGTGGCTTCAACAAGGAAGTCCATCCAGAAGTCCACGAGTTCCTGTTTGGCTGTATGTTGTTCAGGATTCAGTTTTTTAAAATGCTGATATATCAAAATAGTCTCTACAATAGACTTCAGGTACCTGTGATCAATAATACAGTAAGTAAATAATAATGTCTGTATCTTTAATTCCAACTGAAGCACCCACCACTGCAATGCTAAGGCAGTCAAGATTCTGGTTCTCCAGCTTGCTTTCAACAACAGCAATTCCTCATTTTTTGCTGGAAATGTTGCAGCTATGTTATCAGTCTGAGATCTGGGACAATCCTTCCTGCATATATGCCTGATCACATATGCTGCCTGCTATTCTAAACCATGAAAGCTTCCTGAAATATCTGTTTATAGTCTAGCTACATGCAAAAAGAAATAATGCTAACTCAGAGGGCATTTTGAGAGTAGTTGTATAGCTACACATTGCCCAACTCTCCCTCTTTGGTTGAATTGATATTCTGCACAAAATACTGTATCTACCTTGTACCAGAAGGCTCTGCTGCTGAATAGCAGGCTGAGAAGAATTGCTCACAGGAGAAATCACTCCTGAAGCACAAACAAGCATGCTGTATTTTCAGAGTTTAATCTGCAGACTTAAACCCCAAAGCACTGGGTACATAAAATCCCAACAAACAGGCATTCATAAACTCAAGCAAACTACCAGGAGACTCCCACAGAATGCTATCCAGCTCCTCATGTACACAGTTAAAAAAAAAAAAAAAAAAAAAAAAAAAAAAAAAAAAAGCATTGCATATAAATACATTGTAAACAGCTTTTATAAGAAAATTGGTAAGAAAAAACAATGTTGTCCATTTCAACAGTTTCATATGCTATCTCAATATGTAAGTTCAGCATTTCCATATTTTAGCACACCTACATTCACTTCTGACCAGCTTTTGGAGACAGACTTCAGTTTCTTCATAAAAAAGACAAAAAAAAAAAAACCAAAAACCCAGGCAGCCTTGATTGGCAGAGTGACAACTTAAGTCAGAAAGGAGTCTCGGATCTCCTTTGCCAAAAGGACCTAGACCTTGATGAGTGGACAACTGGTCCCTACTTCCTGTCTGCATGTGAAGAAGAACGTGTTGAATCTAACTCTAGACTTACAACCTTTCCATTAAATGGAGTTTAATCTGCATTTTTCTCAATCACAACCAGATGAAACTTGTACAGATTGCTCATTTATATTCAAGTTCATAAAATAGTTGGCACACGCAATAACTATCACAGTATTCCAAGGTGTATCTGTGCTCCTCTAGCCAAGCTGATTGCACTCCTAGGAACACTTGGGCAGTTATGACTAAACCCACGTGCTCCTACCACTTCAACTAACTGAAGAAGCACAGTGCCGATAAGCAACTTCTCTTCCCCCTTACCTTCAGAAGAGGGTCAATGGTAAATCTGCTCTTTTCAGCCCAGCAAAAAATATAATAATATATATATCCATTAATAAAGGCAGAAGGGGAAGATAGCTCCATCAAGGTAGAAGTACAATGAAGCAATACACAGACTAGCAAAATCTGTTAGCAAGATACAGCGTTTTAAAAGACATTACCATACACCATCTTTCTTATCACCTTACCATGCTGGTGCCTTTAGCTTAAATAGCTTTTCTGAAGCCTGGATCACTCTTATGTGGTCATTAGCCAACATACTGGCTGCCAAGAAAGATCCCACTTCCCAATAGCTCTGCAGCTTCTCCAAGCTCCCCTTTTTACCAAGCAGGCTGCTGATCTTTACCCCTGTAGTAGAAAGAATAATAGGTCACAGGAACATATCTATGTCATTTTAAAATACATTATTTCCCTGCTTTGAAATCTATTCATTGCTTAAGTTACTTTATCCTTTCCATTTCAATGAAATAAGATGGAAATTATACTTACCAGTTAATGTTAAATGACTTCCATACGCCCTAGGTCGTAGCAGACTTTTTTTCCCCTCCCCCTCTTCCTAAAGACCTCTCAAGAAAGGAACTTTAAGACATCGCTGTCAGGACAAGGCCACAGTCACATTACCTACGTTCTTGCATGGACCTCATCTGTAAAGGTACATTGGGGCCTTAGGCTACACAACATAGCTGTAAAAACTTAACAGATGCTGAATAAGGCACCTATTATGTTTTTTTTTCTGCTTTTTTTTTTTTTTTTTTTTTTTTTTTTGGTGACTTACAAGCCCCAAGCCCCAGACTTACCTTTATAGACAAGGTCCCATGCAGAAGGAACTGATGATCCACTGGCCTTCTTCCAGCAGTGATGTTCATTAATTTGCCGCAAGTCCTACCCCAATGAAAGACATCTATTAATATTCGTAAGCCCCTCAGCAACTCAAGACTATGGAGAGCCTCAGGCCTCATTTAGACTTGCTAAGTTTTCTGAAAACTACAAGTCTCCCCGTGGCCTTCAGGGTGAATTTTAGTTCAAAACAACTACTGCAACTATGGCATATTTATAGCTAACGCCCCTGCAAATGAAATATTTTCCAGCCTACAGGACATGCCTTATCACCACAGTAACCTTCTGTTCACTTTCCCCATACTACTCCACTATGGCAGTTTCCCTCCCATATCACCTTCTGTCATATCAAAGCTTACTATTCACATGAAATTTCAATGGAACTGTTGATTTTTCTCCTTTTTTTCCTTAACCTTCATTAAATAGCTAGCAGACTGAATTTCATTCTGAATGCAGCAATAAATCTTATCAAAACAGATATTATTGGCTAAATTTCAGTCAACAAAATCCATACTGTTTTGTCGTGTTGCTTACATTTCCGTGTTCTAAACACTAGATAAAAAATGGATATAGTTTTACACATAAAATCCAAGTGCTCTATAGTCTGTTTCATGTCTGTATTTCACTTTGTGCTCTTGCTAACAAGTTGTCATGCTGGAGTAACATACAGAATAAACGGACACTTAAATATAAGTAAAAGCATTAGCTGTCTGCTTCTTAGAGAAAAGTTTATTTGTTCTTGAAGAGAATATATGCAATTTTAAGATTGCAGCCTCCTTTTATTATTTCTCTAGCTTATTTTGATCTCATTATCCTTAAAAGTTTTTAGAAAGTATTAGAACAACCAGGTGAAGACAAGACATTCTCTTTGTTTGCAATAAATCTGGCATTTACAAAAACAACGAAGCATCATCTAAGATCCAGAACATTTTATCAAAAACATTTTGCCTTAAAAAGAAATGGGCATAAATACAGAAAAGAAAAGAAAATTACTGTCAGAATGGTCATTAATGCCAGGAATACACCCACAGCAGAAAGAAAATAATATTCAATAACAAGATATTACCAGTTAAAGATTACTTTGAAAGCTTTATAAATAAACTGCTTTCCTTGCTCAAATATTGACAGAACAATTTGTATTATTGGATCTCTTGTGTGCTGGAGTTGCACAGCTTGCAGAGATCATTATTGCCAATGCAAAGCACTGTGTTTATGTTTTGGTCTCAAAGTTCTGTGATTTTGTACAGTTAAAACAATACTGTAAAGGAAATACAATGAGTACTTGATTAATGCTTCACTCGATCATTTCATGTGAACTATTATTCTGACAAGCATAGGCAGGAACTCTCAGAAAGCAAATTTTGATCTGATGCAAATGGGTAAAAACTCTCTTTGGTTACTGGAGTTATTACTTTATTCCCAATGTAATCAGATATGCATCTTCTAATTACAGCTTCATGCACCCTCTGAAGTGCTGTTAAGGACTGTATCTTCCCTTTGCTTTTCCTAACCTACCAATATTATTTTTGTACAACCTGGACTGAAATTTAGCCAGCTTCACCTCTCTCCTTATTGTCTACCAGGAAACAGACTTTCTCTAACATCTATGCGTTGTAATAACACAACAGGAGGATGCCAAGCACTACTAAGCAAATCTAAGTGCTGTTAGGTCTTATACACAGATAAATACAAAAAGGTGACATCGAAAGAATGACATAAGCATAAAAGACCTTTGGAACAAGAAAAAAAATATGTTTCCTTGCAACCTCTGATTTCCCTAATTTTTGGTCAAAATCATTAACATCAGTCCAAGATAAAGGAAATACTGATTTGTCCTCAGAACCTAGCACAGTTCAAGTCAGCTGACAAACCTTATCATATTAACATGAACCACAGTTTTATCACCAATTACCATTGTCCAATGCATAAGGCCTATATTATAACTGTGTTTGAAATAATCTTTCAAAGTATTTTAACAATATTTCTTATAACAAAATAGATGCTAGTAGATCCCTTCCACTATCTAAAGGTAGACTATGAGGGGATCAAACGGAGAAGGACTCTTTATCACTAGGTGTAATGACAGGACAAGGAGTAACAATTTTGAACTAAAAGAAGGTAAATTTAGATTAGACATAAGGAATAAATACTTTACTATGAGAGAGGAAGGAGGCCTAGGGGAAAGTGTCTCTACACATGGTAGATAAACTGGAGGCAGATATTTAAGGTCTCATCCAACTCAACAACTCTATGACCACAGCAGGCGCTGTCTTTAAATGAGTCTCAACAGACAACAAATCACAGAATCACAGAATGGCCAGGTTGGAAGGGACCTCAAGGTTCATGAATCTCCAACCCCCTGCCACATGCAGGGCCACCAACCTCCACGTTTAATGCAAAACCAGGCTGCCCAGGGCCCCATCCAACCTGGCTTTGAACACGTCAAAGGACGGGGCATCCACAACCTCTCTGGGCAGCCTGTTCCAGCACCTCACCACTCTCTGGGTAAAGAATTTCCCCCTGATGTCTGACTTAAATCTCCCCTCCCTCAACTTAAAACCATTTCCCATCATCCTAAACATATCAACCCTTTCAAAAAGTTGATTCCCTTCCCCATATAAATATTTACATAAGAAAGATTGCCACACCAACAGCTTCTAAAGAAAACAAAAGTTCCTTTCTCTCATCTTCAAAAAAACAACAACAACAAAAAAACTAAAGACAAAACAAACAAACAAAAAAAAAAACATCCAAAACTAAATAAATCACTACCCTTCAACCAAACACAGCTACTAGATATTACTCCCCTAAGTAACTCATCATCCATGGATGGAACCTTAAGTAGGAAGGAAATTTAATTTCTGTACTGTTCTCCACACAAGCAGTACAGCAATCACTGCACAAACTCACAAGAAGATGCCAAACATCTGATCACTACAAATAATTTTCAGATTTCATCACTATTATCAGTTCACCCAAATCCAGTCGGCCATAGCCTGCGTGCAATTGAAGTTTCTTTAGAATTGGAGGATTCAATTTAAACTACACAGAAAATATAGCTCAGATTCACTAAACTATCCCTAATTTAAAACTATGTCAGTTGAATGAATATTATCCAAAAGTCTCACAGGAAGCAAGATGTGTGTGCACATGTTTTTGAGTTTTTTGTTTGTTTGATTGGTTGGGTATTTTTGTTTTTTGTTTTTTACCACCTATGCTGCCACAAGAATTAAAATTTCAGCATAGAAGATGAAAGCATTCCATCCAACCCAAAAAGACAAACTTCATCCACACATAAAGGCAAACACAGTAGCTGGGGGCAACCCTACAAAGCCTATCATATCACAGAATCACAGAATCACAGAATCATCTGGGTTGGAAGGGACCTCAAGGATCATGTAGTTCCAACCCCCCTGCCTAGCAGGGCCACCAAACATCCACATTCAGATCAGGTTGCCCAGGACCCCGTCCAACCTGGCCTTGAACACGTCCAAGGACAGGGCATCCACAACCTCCCTGGGCAGCCCGTTCCAGGGCCTAACTACTCTCCTTGTGAAGAAATATCATATCTAAATAATCACCTTCCTTAATCCCAGAAAATTTCAATTCCACTTCTATTATCCACATGAAGGTAATCATCTCTGAGCTTCAAGCTCAAAAAAATATAATTCTTCACCCAGAAAATTACTTTCAGAGATACTCCACACACCTTACTTCTAAACTAGTGCAGAGGCTCATTAAAGATATTCTTTGCAGTAAAGAACAATGCTTCTTTCTCCTCAGGAGACCAGGAGGGGAAAAAAGAGAAAAAAGAAAAAAAAAAAAAAAAAAAAGGATTTGCAGTACATCAAGAATTACACAAACCTGTGGAGAAAAATGCCAGTTACAAAGTATACGTTAGCAACTATTACAACATTCAGTCATCTTCCTTTTGTGGCTTCCCTGAATGGGATCCTGGCTAATTTTGGCTTTGCCTTCTCTTCAAATACAGCAAAACCACAAATCAAATCACAAAGCAGACCACTTAATACAAAGCTTTAAAAAAACCTCAAAAACAGCATCTGAAGAGAAGCGTGGCTCATTCTTCTCTTAACCCATCCCAATCTCAAGCTACGTGCATTTTGACGACCCTAAGGAGAGGTTTTTTTTGCCCATATTTCCTAGCGATCCATAGGTATTTTCTGTTTGCTTGTTTGATTTTTATTTCCATTTTTTTGAAGAAAGCTAGCCAGATCCAAACCCCCCTTTCTGGCATTCCTTCCTTCTGGCTCACAAAAAAGACATCACAGCAAAGAAGGGCTGCCAGTTTTCACTAAGCTCTGGTAACCCGTTAAGACCTTCATCCTGGAATCAGATCATCACAACAGTGCTCACTGTCAGCCAGGTGGGATCAGTGATGGCTAGGAACACTAACTAAGATGTTCACATGCTCACTATCAAAGCATTTATATGCAACTATCAGATTTTCTTCCTCCCCTTGTGACAGTGAATGGTGTCATACTTTCACTAGAAAGTTCACTGTGTTCAAGTTCACTGTGAATTTGCAAGCTGTAATTACCAACTTTCCGAAGCTCAAAAGAAGTATCAAAGCAATGTCCAGCTGCCAGAAGAAGCACTGCATAACTGATTCCCGACTGCAGTGTTGGCTCTGACTCAAACGCCTTCTTGAACCTAGAGAAAACAAACATACAAGTTTGCTTTCTAAATAATGCAATCTAGTAGGGATATAATTATACTTTTAGGTTCTGTAGGTGTTTATCTTCTGTTTACATAGTAAGAATCCATGGAAACAAAAATACTGTTTTCTGCACATGCTTTTTGGCTATTTTTAGGAGTGAGTTACTTACTTAAGAGTTAGTTAATTATATATGCATCCTCTTTCCTTTTCCTTTCCCTTCACCCAAGTACAGGCCCTGGTTGTCCATTCCAGCAAAGCTAGTATCTTATTGGATTTACAGTTTTTCCATTGAGATAGAAGAAAAGAGCATTACCAGCTTTTAAGAGACCTGTTTCACAGTTATATTTATTGTTATATTTATTAATGGACTCTTTAATTTCCTCTTAAATATGTAGATTTTCACTAAAGCTGACTTTAGATCATGGATCTGCTCCAGTGACATACAGGCATAACAAAATACATAAACACAGAAGCAAATGATACAAATGCCTCACTTCTGGCACGAATACCTAAATTTCTCTAGTTGAGTGACGAATACAGAACTTCAGAATTTCATAAATCAAATAAACTTCTCCAGTGAGAAACAAAAGGTGGGAACACACATGCTGTCAATGGTGTTAAGCATATAGGCAAAGGAGGCAGAGATGAACTGAAGCATACAAGATAGTTACTCCTTGCAGAAGTAATTGGTGAACAGCCCTCAAAAAACAACGCATTGAGTTGAAAACAAAGCGTCACAGGTAGGCAACAAAAAAAAAAGGCTACATTCCTTTCCCTAGGGGACTGAGAAATTATTTTATAGGATCAGAGAGCTTATTTCTTTCATTACATTCAGTATTTGGCTTCTTTAAGCTTCAATTGACAAGTAGCATTCTCCTTGACATAATTTTTGCAGCATGCACAAGAAAAAAAAACGATAGGAACCAACAAGAAATTTACAGAGAAAATAAAAATGAAAAATGTGCAATTATTAACTTTCAACAAATGAAAATAGCCAGTTGCAATTAAAATCTGCAAATCGAACTGGTTTAAATTCAACATGTGCAATTGTTGTGCACTGTCAAGCCCTCCACGACACAGAAGGAATCAGTGTTGCAGAAATGCAGTCAGGTTTAAATGTCTTCCTATAAAGTTAGAGGTTGGCTTAGATAAAGGCCTTCAAGAAATTGAAAGCTGATGTTTGGGAAAATGTTGCAATACAGATACTGAATAAGATAGGTAGCAGTAAAAGGATTTGAAAGATGACTTGATAGCATTGGTGAATCTGATTTACATTGTCAGTACGCAACAAGAAAGTGACAGTTAAGAATTAGACTTTCATTTCTTGTCTCATATTTTCATCACAGATGCTTTTTATTCCACTTCTCAGTTGTCAGAAAAATCACACTTCCTGCTTTTTTTTTTTTTTAAATAGCCCAAAGTACCCTAACATCATTAGCTGTTGCAAAACTAACACTTCAGTTCTGCTGCTAAATTCTTATCTTATGCAATTCACTGCATTTCTCCTGCAACCTCATTTCTCTAAGACAGAGATAATAACCTTTATCTCAACATAAACTAATGCCATTGTGGAGGCACTGTTCCTGCACACACCTTCTTCCACCCCCACTGAGGCCAGTGTGCAGCACTGGTAGCAGCTTTGCTCCCAGCCAAAGGCCAGCAACTAGGTTATGGCTCAATCTTTCAGCCATATCAAGCCTGTTATATGACTGACACTAGAATTCAAATCAATATCCAACATAAAGTACAAACTAAAAGCAACTGATTCCCCTGGTACAGGTTCCAGTCAAATTCCAGATTGTCTTAGTCTGGTCTAACTGGCCAGAGACTTCAAGGATTATTTAGGGGCTGCCCTGTCAGTGCCCTACCCACGGCAAAAGCTGTTATGACTGCAATCATTGCATCTCATCAAGAGATGAGCAACATGACTGATAGATGCATTTATTAGAAGCATGTTAAAGCAGCTGTGTGAAACATCCTAGTAAGTAATTACGCCTACTAAACATATAAACTCACCTAATCGTGTTTGAAAATCTCAAAGTTTATCTGTTCTTAAAGCAGTACAAATGAGGAAAAAGCAATCACAGTACATATCACAGACATAAGTTCATTTAATTTGTTTTGTCCATGGTGATGCCTAGTACTGTATAAAGACTACAGTTTGATTTTTGTATCAGCTAACATTAAACAAAATATTATTCTACACCAATTTTAAAAGCTTCACAAGAGCTTTGTCTTAGAGAAATTCTTTAATCAAAATTATGAAGTGGGAAGGGAAGGGAAGGGAGGGGGGAAAATAACATGCTGTATTCCTGCTATTTCAACATATTTTAAGAGGCCAGTAAGCATTACAAAACTGTAAAGCATAACCAAGAATTAAAAATTGTTCATGTATTCTAAGACTATAGAGGGTGAATAATTATGTATTTCAAAGACAATTCTAATCTGAAGGTTACTGAAAAAACGTGAAACGAGAAGGAGAATCAAGCATTTACTTCAACAGGTAGCTGATGAGCTCAAAAGCAGAACAAGGATTCAATGTGGAGGATATGCAGAACAAATATTTATCTATATTCTCTTCCTGAACTGGAATGGAAAAAAGCAGCTCACCCTGACAAAAGTACCTAATGTTGGCATTTCAAGTATATTTCCCTTGGAAATTGAAGGCCTGACAGACAAGAGACAAAGGACTTTTTTTTTTTAATAATTTTGGAGGCAAGTACCATAAGAATCTGTACTGCAATCCACTGTAATATGTATACGTTATATGGAGATGATGGGGTGATAAATCTTTTCCTAGCATGAGTTTACATTCCTTGTCAGCAAGGAAGCCAAAAGAAGACAAAAATTTCTAAGCATCAGCACAGTTATACTTCAGCACCTTTAAGCATAGCTGGTAAATACCTACCAAGATGCAGGTACACCTATTGATTCAAGCCTGAATAACAACGCCTGGCCCAGATTCTTAAAAGAAATGCAGGAAACAAGAGAATTCACATTTGAGAGAGAGGAGAAAGATAAGCTGTGATGAAGGTACCTCAACTCTGAGGCACCTGAAGAGCTTTATGGAAGCAGATGTTTAGACACCGTGAATCTGTCATTCTTAACAAGTAAGGAAGGCCCAGATTAGAAGACATTGCATAACCATTAAGAACACAAAATATTTGGAATGAAAAACAGTTGAAGTGTGTTCTCATTTAAGGAACGCTTTCTAAAGCTAAGAAAAAGACATAGACCAGGAAAACATTACTCACCAGAAGGTCCCTTTGTCTCTGCTTTCTGTATCTATGAATCCAGATTCCAAAAACATGTCCTTGTAAATGCGACCAACCAGGCAGTACATATCTGAAGCTACTTGATCTTCTTGTTCTACTAAAGGAATCATAATTTCTAGAGCTTTCTGTCTGTCCCCAGGCAGATTTCGTCTATTAAAAATAAATATTCCAATAAAAAACAATAGTTAACAAGGAATACCTTTTCACAACCCATCTGAATATATAGTTATTTATTTAAAAGATTATACATATGATTTTAAATAAAGATATCTTTATGCATTAGTCTGTAATTATATGTCGAATGTGCTCCTAGACGCAATGAATCATTTTATAAACATGTTTGAAACAAAGATTAAAAAACATCACTACCAAAAAACCTTCTTCATAAAAGCCCCCAAACATGTTATCTCTCTCATGATCACCTAGAGCAAAGCAGTAACAGCAGTAAGAGTAGCTTCGAGAGCAATCCTTTGGGAGATCATAAGATATTTATTCATAAAATGCAAAGATAAAAAGGCTGCCTTAAAAGCAATGTCTCCTATTTTGTCTCATGTTGGCTCATGATGTCTGACACTGTTGTTGGTGGTATGGCAGTAGAGGATGAACCTTCTCTCCAGCATTCTGTTACATGCTGTCGCTGTGTGACAGATGGCAGCAGAGGGACAGTCTGACAGAATGGTATCTGATTTGGAAGCATGTATGAAGCAAAGGAGTGTTGATGCACCTTCCTTCATGCAGAAACAGTGGCACCCACTGACATTTAGTGACACTTGCTGAGCATTGATGGAAACCGAACAGTGGATATGCACACAGTGAGGTGGTGGGTGGTGTGTTTCAGCAGTGGTGACAGTCACCTCTACTGGTGCAGATTTTCACAAGCATGGCATGCAGGCTCTTGACCATCACAGTGAAAATGCATAGCTCATGGTGGTGATCATTTGGAAAAATACTGTTTCATAGCTGAGAATTTGCTCTATCAAACATTGTTATTGAGCTCTTTGTATTTGTTGTCATTTCCATAGGAACAAATAGGAGGCATTACTTTCAGAGCAACCTATGTATATATGAGAATTTCAATGCCTGCTGACACTTGGTCTGCTTCTCTAAACATCAAAATAGCCAATCTTCACTGTGCTAACACTAAGGGATTAGAAAATATCTGCAATTCCCACTGGAAAATTCCCTCTTTAATGCCCTTCCTTATTGCCAGTGTTTCAGATTTTTGGGAAAAATCACAATATAAACAAACAAAAAAAGCACCAGGGCCCAGCTCCCATTTAGCTCAAAGAAGTAGTGCATGTAGCTGCGTGTGCCACATTGCACATGTTATCAGAGAGCTTAAAAATATGCGTACTATAACATTGTAAAATCTTCTGATTATCACTTGATGTCTCTTGACATGAAGTGTCTCTTGACAACAGGAGAACTCAGACTTGAACGAGTGGATGTCTAACTCAGCACAAATGCTGCAATGCTGTCATGCAACAGCGATGTTAAATGTGTATTTTACTTTTACAGATTCAGACACTGAAATGAAAAACTCAAATGCTGACACAGATCTATGGAAGGACAAAATAAATAAATAAAATCAGACTGAAGGAAGAGGAAAGCAATTTGACAGTATGAAAGGAAAAGGAAGCTTAGACTCATCAAGAAGGTCAAGAGTCCCTAGAACTGCTTCAGTGAGAACCCTAGACCTGTATACAAAGATTCCAGTAGGAACCCTTAACCGTGATTATCAGCCATGCATTGAGTTTGTGGTACTGATTTACTACTTGACATCAGTAGGAAAGGTACAGTCTTACCTGTTCAGTGCAAACGCATAATGTAACCTCACATGGTGATGGGAAGCCAAGTCAAAAGTAGGCAGTTTTTCTAAAGTCTTCACTAGTTTCACAATGGAATCGTAATCCTTCCAAAAGAAAGGAACAATGAAGTTTTAAGTGGCTGTACTGAAGTATGCATATACAAACTCTTCTTTGAACTAAGGAGCTGGCATTTCATACTGGGATGTAAGTTACATGGATCTCACATTCCTCACTCTGAAACTATAAATGGCTTGGCACTCAGAGATGCGAATAAACAGAACACTTTACACAATTTGGATTCCTGTACTGCTTAAATATACATAGAGAAATTTCCCATTCCACATTTCATAATACCAGTTAGCTTCAGGGCTGAACATGTATCAGAGTTCATATCAGATAGAAATTACAATGCTAATTGCATCTACAACAAAGTATTCCAAAACTCTTCAAGGTAAGCATGAGAAGCAAACAAAAATTAAAAACGCTTAAGAAGCAACTACTGAAACTATGTATAATAAAGCAAGCAATTACTAGTACCATTCAGAGAAGCTGCAATGCATACAAACATGTTATGTTGCCAAGAGAAATGTCACACGCATGGTGATAAAGCTCATAGTCAGAACACAAACATATCAATAGCAGAACACTAAGACGGCCTTTAAGTAGGGCACGCTACAGGCTATTTGTCACGTAGCAGTGATGACATGGAGACCTGATGTATGTTACATATTTTTTAGGTGCTGTTATAATGTATTTTCAGCTATGTAAAGGCATGCTGAACAATATAACTAAAAGTAAAGAGCATCAGTGAAGATACTGCAACCAATTTTTTACCAGTGCACATTATTTCTATAGCTTCTTAGAAAAGGTGTGCAAAATGCACTACAATTCCATTGAGAATTAACTTTATCACATTTTTAGATTATCTTTGAGCAGAGGATACATACCTGTATGTCTCTGTAGGACAGCAGCAAGTTGATTACAATGTCAGCAGACAAGACCTCAATATTATCCACTCGCTGCCGAATTCTCGCCAGCTCTGCTGCAAGCTCTTTGCCAGTGTAGAGGGTACGGGCCTTCCTAATGTCATTAAGGATGGATTCCCGGAAATACTGGCTGGAGAGGAACAACTTCACATTAGCACTTTGTGAAAGATCCTTGCATTTGTTTTTATGGCCCTGCAACACTCTCGCAATACCTTTGCGAAACAATTAGCATAGAGCAGCGTTAGTGCAGAGAGTTCGTCAAGCTAAATTATTCATTAATTCATTATCAATTTGTCTCAACAGAAACATCGCTCACTCTGAAGGCAAGAGATCCGACATTTGTATTGTCAGCAGAAAAATACAATATACAAAGGGGTACAAAACATCAACTCACCCCGAGCTGGCCTGTGCCACCTTCAAGAGTTGGATAAATCGATCTACCAGAGGTAAGCAAATAGGCCCAAGAAGTGATTCAAAACTTGGCTGCATCAGTTCTGTTAGTCCCTTCATAAAGCTACTATCGCAGCAGTACACCTTGTTATGTGGAGTTATCATGTAAGGAACAAAGATGTAGTTACCAGTGCACATCTGTAAGAAAACAAGGCACAATAGTAAGAGCAATTAAGGTTTGGCAAGCCTAAACCTAGAAAAACTGTATAAATAATGGGTTAAATTGTACCTGCTGAAGGCAAAAGGGACAAAGACTTTAAATATGGAGCCTACAATTACATACATTCAATTTTCATCTTGTACATGATATACATCTGAAACGTGTATCACAAATGTTAAAAACAGTAACATAAATCAATGGCATCACAACAGGAAAATAGTGAGAAAATGAATCCACTATGAATCCAATATGAATCACAAAATGACTCAAATGGTTCAGCAAAACAAAGACAAATGAAATTCCCCGCTACGCAGCAATTCTAAGTAGGAGCTTAAAATCATACATATTTCAGAGTAGTCACTTACGGAATGTCTTAGAATTGTCAAACTGTATTGATTTACATATATCAATCTGACAGATACTCTGCAAAGAAAAAATAAATCATTTATCTTCCAGGAAACAGGGAGGCAAGACGCCTGGTGCCTGTGGTATGTGAGTACAGATTTATGCCCACAGAGAACTTGCTGAACATTTGCGGTTCTGAAAGATTTTAGCTATAAAACAGCATACCACCAGAAGTCAGGAGATGTGCTGCCATTTGATTTTAAACTCACATTCCACTACTGAAGTGCCTCTAAATTATTTCTAAGGCTAACTACTTTCCGGTCAGCTTCTGCTCTGCCAGAAGTCAATACAGCAATGAGGAAATCACCTCAGAGACTCCATTGTCAAGCAGGGCCTCCTGCACTGAAACAGCACTGATTGCATTCTTTTCAAAAGCATTAATTCAACCATGTGCATAAAACAGCATTTTAGCATGCATAATTAGATTTTAAAAAGATAAAAGCACTGAGGAATTCTAGACTGTATAAGCGCATACGTATAGTTATGTCAATAAATGTGTACTTGAGATTGGGAGCAAAATGCATAGCAATAAATATATATATATATATTTAAATTATGCATATTACAGTATTAAAGCATGAGATCTCAGTACAGAAGCAATCCCATCCCACTTCTGAGGGAAACAGACAAATTGTGAAATTAAATTACACAAGGCTCATTTTGTTCAACTAACCCAGAAGCTGGTAAGGCATTATTGCACACACAGACTTGTGCAAGGATGAGTTTGGTTTTCCTCCCCAGCACCTGTGAATTATTACAGCTGGAAAGCAAGGGCACAGTTTGCTGTTTATGGAATGTAGCAACTCAAAAAAAAAAAAAAACCAAAAAAAAACCCCAAAAAACAAAAACCAAAAAACCTGAGAACTGGGAAGGGTATAATGGCAATATTTTTAACAGGGAATTAAGAGAGTGCAATGCTAGAAATCAAACTGCTTGCTTTTATGATGGAGAAGTGAATGAATAGTTCTGCTCAAGAATATGGCAGCCTGTAAGGTTAGCACACACTCTTAAGAGTGAACAGACAAACCTTTGACCCTGGTAAAGCCTAATAAGCCTTGCAGTCAAACGCAGAGGGGAAATAATAAATTTGCTGGAACTGGTTTCAGCAGTTTCAGGATAAGGGTGGGCAGTGACTGGCACAGGAGCCCCTATTAAGCACAGGAGGATGGTGGGGGTTTTTTTTGTTTTGTTTTTGTTTTTTGTTTGTTTTTTGTTTTTAATAAAGGGAAAAGGCTGGGAAATCAGAGCCAAGAGAAAGGGTGAAGTAGCTACAGATATCCTAGGGCAAATATTTTACTTCCTAATGTTTATTCAGCGCATTAAGAATAAATTCAAGACGGCTTGCAGGAAGGCTTCTCAGACCTCTGGCATAGATCTTAGAGAAAAATCAGCTCTGAAAAAGGATGTTTCTAGCTTTTGAAATCCACAGAACCCAAAGTTTATTCTGGCATAATGGTCAGGCCACCTACGGAGATAGTAATGGAGTCTCTGTAAATAATCCCACAAGTACAAAAGCTGCTCTTTCTTCAGAGCTCTCTGCATGCACCTTCTCTAGGAATAGGGCATCTATTTCAGTGGAATGAGAGAGCCAGCAGAAGCTAATTTATGTGCATTTTGCTTCATGCTTATGGCAAAAAAAGAAAAAAAAAACACCATCAAAAACCCTGGCTACGTTCTACATTATAGAACCTGCTATTCCAGACACACAAACCCAGTAGCCTTCAGAAACAGAATACTGAAAGATCAAGGGAAGAGCTTAACAGTAAAAGGCAGAAGAATCACATAAGAAGGAAACTGAAGAAAGTAGAACAAAGCTCACAGCTCTCCTCAGTGTCCCCAGATTTCTCTGGTAACTGAAAGCAGACTCTCACCACAGTTCTATGGTGAGGTAAGAACACACTGGCCTTTCCCTCAGCTAGGGCATTACTGTGGATGTTAATGTAACCAAGATTGCTACATTTTCTGATGAGTCCTTCATCTCTGAAACATCTCAAATCTGTCTGAAATCAGACAGGCAGATACAGCAAGAGGGTACAGGAGGGGAAAAAACAAACAAACAAGTTCTTAGATTTTCTTTTCTTTGGGGAAGGCATAAAGAAAAAGCTAAAATGCCACACGCAGTGAAGAAACACAAGAAATAGTGACCTAATTTTCACTTTCCAAGTGAAAAAGTACTCCAGGTTTTTATCAGATGAACCTGAAAAAGGCAAAGATATAGCAGCTCAGGTGACACAAGGGAAGAAAAAACAACTAAGATGTATTATTTATCAAGGGTGTGTGGGGAAGGAAGATGTTTTTACTTAAAAGACAAACAAGCAAACAAACAACAACAGTCTTGCCCTCACAAAGTCCAGAGTCTCCTGCTATGGAGAAAATAAGTTTTGCCACTGCCACAAATTCCAGCTACAAAGAGCCAGATCCTGGTTGTATTTGGGCAGGGATCTCTGTCAAAATACAGGCTACACTAACTTAAGCCAGGTGGTTTTTCTAACACACTCTTCCTATCTGCTCACACATTGCTTCTGATTTTGACTTATTCACTGCCCATTGTTCTGCCTGAACATTTTTCTCTTATCCTATTAAAATGTGTCCTGTAACACTCGATCCCAATTCTTCTTTCACAAACTCTGATATTCTTTCTTAAGTCTAATAATTAACCTTAATCCATATTTTAAGCTGCTGAACACACAAGGGAGAAGTGGTATTTTCCTTTGATCCACTACTCTGACTCACTTTATCATATACAACAGAAGCAGCAGCACCAAGCCATTCAAGAAAAACAGGCAATTTTTGAAGGAGTAACACACCTTAAATACAATTGCATTTTTAAAAGGGTGTTAATGTAACCGAAGTCATAATTGCAAGCAGCAAAAAAAGGCCTCAAAAGCAGGTGGGAAGAGATGCTTCTCCCAGCCCAATCAACAACAGTTACTGAAAGTTTCACTTCCCAGCCTCCTTAGTTTATGAACCCATCGTTATTTATAGTTCAAAAGCTCACATCACACTAATGCTACAGAGTCACTAGAAGTGACCTGAGCTGCACATTCAAACAGTTTCTGAGTATCAGAGCTGTGACAGACAAGCAATGTGCACAGAGTACGGGGGTTCATCCTGATGCAGGAGAATACCTCAGGATATGAGATGAGGCAAACCAGGCCCAAACTCTCAGATCATGTGAGCTAGTTATATCCAGGAGACACAAGCACACCCTCTGAAGGCTTTGAGCCAGCACACTCAGCACCTGGCAACATCAGGCCACCTTCTGAAATCACATCCACATCACAGCCCGCATCACCAAACCAGTCAAAGTAGCTCGGAGTCAGTTATGCATGCATAGATATTTATCAGCAAATGACTAAATCTGTAATCCATTTTTATGAATGTTTTAATTGCTATGTATTTTCCTAGTGCCCCTTTCTAACTTGCTGTGGCAAATCAAAAAAATTCCAGGCTGCATGCGTTTCCAGTTTAGATACAGCCATAAGTTTATATTAATGGCTCTACCATTACAGAATTTGAGAATAAGTTATTCTTGGCTAGATTCACTGGTCAGTGGAACATTAAGCACTCCCTTCTTTCCTGATACCCTTTCTCTGCTAAGGAAAATAAATTCATGTTTCATTTATTTGTTTTTAAGAGGGATAATAAAAACACAGCACACAGTTATATTTTGATAATTGCAACAAGAACACATGCAAGCCCTTCTTCCAACAACCCTCTTTAAAGTAAGACCATTGCTTCTGTAAGGCACAGTATTTTGGAAAAGTTAATCAAGAGACACCATGGCTAATTAGAAAGAACTTTGTGCAGTAAGGTGAACACCATTCTCTCCCTGACAAAGATATCTCATGTGGAAAAGAAGGCTTTCCTCTGAAAGTTGTATAGATTAAGCCAGAGCAATGCTTTACAAAACAATACTCGAGTCCTGCTCAAATAATTCCCAGATCTTGAATTTTACTTCAAAAGCAGGGAGAAACTCTGTAAAACCTGAAGTTGATAGTGCCTACTCCTCTCATCCCCAAGACTCTGTTGGAATCACTAAGCAGTCAAAAGTCCACAAGCAGAAGAAAAATGCCTTCAAGGACAAGAAGCGCCAGAGAAGACTAAACCCCTGAAAACCAAAATCATGATAATTTACTTACACATGAGAGAACATGACAGAATTACACCTAGTTCCCTACTCTTCAGGTCAGCATACAGTGTAATTTTTTTTTTCTTTTAATCAAATTAGTGGTGGCAATAAAAATAAGCAATATCTGCCATAACAGGAGCTGTTCTTCCTGATGACTCTCCTCTAATTAAGATCAGCTTTTTCTCATTTTTTCCTACCAGTTCATCTGAGGAATATCAATCTCTTCCTATTCCAATTGCTTTCATAAGATTTTTATTAAAGGTAATTCTGTAACTGCTCACGGTGTTGCATGTAACAGATGGCAAAATCCCAGAACAAGTTATTAAACCTATTCCCTCCATCCCCAAACATACAGTAAATCAACATGTGCTGGTGTTTTAATGAATACAGGCTCAGTCTGGGCTTATTTCAAATCCCATTCAAATGAACGACTGCCTTGCTATTGATTGGAAAAGGAATAAAAGTAGCCCTCACACCTCAAATTAATTAAAACACAGAAACTGGGTCTGATCTTTCAAACAATTCCCACTTTCTTTTCATGCCTAGCAATAACAGCCTTCTGCAGCCATGCCACATCCTAAACGCTTGTTAAAATTCAGCATACATTTTATACATCCTCACAAAACATTAACGAAGGAGGAAAAATAAAAAGCTAAATTTTTCCAAGGAAAATATGCACCAAATATATCAATGAACGCAAAGCTTGGGGAAAAAAAAAAAAAAAAAAAAGAAAGCAAAAGGACAGTGATGTACCACAGACAACAATAAATACTTCAGCAGTTACTGGCAACAAAATATCCTTAGCGGTTATTGTTTCACATTTCTATACACTTGAATAAAAAACAAACAAAACAAAAAACAGCCCCTAAATCATTTGCTAGTGGGGAAAGGAGTGTTAGAAATACTTCCCTCTATTGCTAGAGGGGAACAAACCAAGAGCTACACATACCCCCATGAGATCCGCAGTTACCTATATATGCTCTATGTGGAGGCTGGAAGCTTGGTAAAGCCCCTGGCACGCATCATTTAGGACCACTTGCTCTGAAGGAGCACAACCGAGCTGATCTCCAAGCTGTGCCTGAAACAGGAGGCAGCTCCATCCTTAGGATGGGCTGTGGAAAGCAGTTACTAATTACAAACTAGGATCTGGTGAATGACAAGAAAAACTAATAAGAGTTCTCAGCTGTACAGCACTAACCCCTGTGCCTTACTGCTAAACCTGTGAGTCAGCTGCCTACCTGAACAGTTCTCATTCAGCCCTCATCTCTGCTCTGATCATCACAGTGGCTGTCAGGGAGGCTCTGCCCCCCAGCAGCTCCCTAGGCAATGCATCATACCAGCATGGTGTAAGCACAGAGCCTGGACTCGAAAGGTATACACTGTCAAGATGTTACTGTTTTAGCTGCAGACTTCATTACGTTACAGTACATTATTGAAATCCTCAGATTGAGCAAAAATTGAAATTCTTAAATTGAAGAAAAAAAAAATTGCATCAATAAATCACCATTTATTGTTACTCGACCAGCAGCTTTGCTCCAAAGTCAGTAAGACTCAAGTCAGGTAGAACTAAGCCAAATAAAAAGCCAAGGAAAGCACAGCCACAAGCTGTAACCTTTATACCAACTTGTCTTCATGACCGAAACTCTTTACTAGCAATTTCTAGAATGCCTCTGCTGCTCGGTTGACCTCAAAAATCAGATAACAAGAAAAAAAAAAAATTAAGCTTTCAAATATCAAAGTAACTGCCTTCTGTCAAAGTATCACTCCCTGTAAAAATATATGTTTTCTGATATCATTGCAACGTTTGGAAACGATTCAACTAACCAGCTATAAAACCACATGTAACAGGAAATGAGCCCACGTTATCTTTCCCTGCCCTGCCCTGCCAAGCTCAATGCAGTTTATGCTAGCTATGCAATGCTGTATTGACCATAACTTGGAAGCACAAAAATCCAGGTAGAACAAAGGACAAAACAGTTGGTAATGGATATTTTTTTTTCCCCCTCTCTGCACTCATTTTTAGGAAGTTAGGATTCAGGAAAGCAAACAAGCCATTTCAGTAAGACAGATCTATATATAGATAAACACACATTTGTTTTGAAGCCTTTTAATCCACTGGTGCCAGGGATACTATTGTGCTGTTATGGCTGATATTTGCATGCTGTTAAAGCACATTTTCTAGAACTGCAGGTCTAACATTCAGTTTTATTCCTACACCAATTTCATTTTTTTTACCCTCTATCTGCAGCATCACCAAATTATTTATGTAGAGTGGGTATCTCCCTTTGTTACACCAATTTATGCAAGATTGTGGATTTATGAATAAACATGATTTTCATGAAGCAGGAATTATATTCAGCGATTAGGTACACGCCAACATTTTGAAAATTCTATTTCCAGGTAATTTGGCTTATATCATGCCAAAAACTGAGGGGGAAAAAAAAAAAGGAAAACAATTAGTTTCAGAGATGCTAAGCCAGTTTTTTACTGAATTCTGTGCTCTAATCACTAGGAAAACATTTCCTCTCAGAAAACATGTTATGTGGGTGTGCTTGAAAACATCTGAGATTCTCAAGGACCACACTTTTTGTGGCATATATTGAAGCATTTCTAAAAGTGGTAAATGGCAGTTTCACAGCCAGCTATCCGAATTTAAACAGAACAATTCTTTCTCAGACAGATAAAGGCCAAGTTATCATTCCACTCCTGCAACTTCAGAAGCTGTCACACAAAAGTAGGACAAGACAATATCCTCCCTTTATTCTCCTTCACAGGCCACCTCCTGCTGGTTTCCTGCTAACAGAGCCATTTCCCCACTCCTCACACAGACATTATATTACCGTTTACCTAGATCTCTGCCACTGTGGGTCAAACAAACAAGTATGTGATACACGCATTTATGAGGAAGGAAGAAAAGCCTCCCTGGAAGGCCTCACTGGTCTGTTTCTTTCTGGGTGAAGACCTAACTGATCGCCTACCCCATTTTCATTGCAGAAAGGCAAGAGATTTTTAGCTTAACACATCATTTACAACAGTCTGAGAATCACTGAAATGCACTTAAGAGATGCACAGACATCCATGGAATGTGCTCTGTGCTTCCATTTTTTTAAATCAAAAAATACTATGTAATTTAAAACACAGCATTAGGGCCAAAGCTTGCATGGGATCTTAAAGCCTTCTTTAGAAATTCTATGAGCTATAGTGAGTAACTGCTGCCATTTCAATAAAATCTTGCTTCGTATAGATAGAAATCAGTGCTTAAGTCCATGAACTGTGATATTAAATAAAACAACATAAAACTCAGGAATATTGCAGTTTCTGCGGCAGTTTTAACACTCTGGGAAATAAAACCCAACCAACTTCTAAAATTAGACACATCATGTGCCCATAAAAAAACAATTATACAAATACAGGAACTGCACAGCACCTCAGGATACCTGCACAAAGCCAACTAATTGCTACAAAATTATACCCTAACATATATGGCTATCAGTACGTTCCCAAGTGAAGCCAAGAGTTCAGCATACCAAATATACATTCTGACGTGACTGGCCCTGCTGCTCCTGAACAAACCACATGGAGAAACCAGCGCTCACAGCCAGAGCTCTGCCCACGCTGAATGTAAGAGTGAAAAAGGGAAGGGAGATTTGCAAGGCCAACCTCAGAAACCAAAGACATAGAAAATTCTGGGATCAGCACTGCACAAGGGCTAGCAGGCTCCCAACCTTTGCTTAAGGAAATAGACACACACACTTTCTCTTCCTTGATATATACACCTTCACAGCTTCAGCCACAGGTTTCTAAAATGAGCATCAGTTTCCAAACAGTTCCTTTTCAATAGAGGGTGGATTTTTTGTTTTTGTTTTATTTTCCTTAATCATTTCCATAATTTCTTTTCTTTAAAAAACAACACCTGCACAAACAGAGAACAAACAAATCCAACAACAGCCTGAAGAACACTGAACAGAGAAAAAGAAAAACAAAAACCTGACAAAACAAAAGATGAAAGTAGTGTATGGAAAAAAAAAAATGACAGACAAGTAAAGGCAGCAAGGAGAATACCAGTGATAGTTGGAAGCAAGGTAAGCAGTGAGCCTGGTACCTAGCAACAAAGTGATACACACGGATTTGCTGCTAGCAGCTTCAGAACTCTGTAAAATACAGTAGGAAAGTGTTAAGTGATTCAAATGGGGAACATGATAAACAACATGAAATGCCACAGAAGTTTGGAATGCCTAGAATTCAGCTGGCACACAAATCATACTTACATTATTCTTCTGGCAAATAATTTCCTAGAAAAAGAAAAAAGAAAGAAAAACATTGATAACATTGAACAAATACTGGAAAATATATCTGACCAGTATGACTTTCTAACTTTAAAATATACAGACAAATGACAGAAAGAAGCTGTTTGATGCATGTTTTCTTAGCCTGCCAAGCCAATGGAAATCAGTATTGTCCCAGGAGAGATAATCTGTAATTGAAGATATTACAGAACTAAGAAGATACACACATCCTGTATATACACACAGGAACACATGCAGTCCTGAAATGAGACTGTCCAAAAGTCAGCTATTAATACATACATATTTAGCTTTACAAATACTATCTTGGTACCAGTAGAAAAACCTGAAGAATAGTAAAAGCAGTAATTCTAGGAAGTTTCAGATATTCCCATCTTGCAGTGAAAGTCAACCATTCAAGTTGGCTGAAATTCATGTTCTCAAATAAATCTGATACAAAGAATATACAATTTAACTCCCAATTTAAATGCGAAGTTTCAGAGAATGAGAATTAAAGCACAGGTGGATAGGAAGAGGCAGTTTTTGCACAGCAGTTGGGTGGTACAACTCCAGGAGCTGCCCGAAGGCAAACCACCTGTGGGAAGTGGCCTCGCTTTCAGGAAGTTCTGCCACTGCCAGACTTAGTAGCTACATTATACTTCTGCCACAGTGACCACTGAAGAGCTTCACAAGTCGTATCACTAAAAACAGAGGCAGTCTCAAATAAGGCACCTCATACTTTTCCTGTTGCAAGTTTCAGACTTCCATGAGTTTCTTTTCCCCTAACTGAGGTGACCTATACTTCCTTATATCTTAGTTAAATCACGTGCTGCAGTTATGTATTTCCTACATTTCCATAATCACTACTTTTGTTTTCTTCAATTCACAACTCTCACATACAAGATTAAAACAGTGCACACACAAAGCTTACCCGGGAAAAAAAAAAAAGTTAACAACTACAGTGCACACTCCTGCAGTGCTTCCAGTTTAACTGCTAGCTGTAACAAATACAGGAACAAACACTGCTTCAAAAGATGCTCCTGCATGCTCACAACTATATTATTCTCTTTGTTTTTTAAGATGGTCACTACATAATAGAGAAAGGGATTTGCACTTTGAAAAGTCTTCTACAAAAAACTCTGCAGAAGCATGGGCTCAGCTCAAAGCTAAAAGAAACTGTGGGCGTTGTTTCTGAGTCCATCAGTGAGCATTATAACAGTGGCAACTGGGACAGTGAAGCCTCACAGCATAGGATTCAGATTCCATCAACACCAGTGGGAACCCAACACGTGATTGGTTTGCAAAGTTCAACTCCTGAACTGAGTAATAGTTTTCCCAAGCAGTGCCTCACTACTAGCAAATTTTTAGTGGGAGTCAAATGTTTGGCTCCTCTGTAGTACAATGAAATCCTGCTCTGCTTATACCGTAAACCACTGCACTTCCATAAGTGAATTAAACCCAAAGGTGGATCTTCTACTATGAGCTTTATTTTTGGGGCTTTTATCTGAATACCCTTTGTTTTGCACACAGAAGGGAAGTAATTGGATTGCCACCATTTCAGTTGGCCAAGATCATTTGGATGGAGGCACGGGGAGAAGAAACTAAATTCAAGGTATCTCTGCCCTACAGGAAAGCCAAGCTGCAAATAGCCGAGCAGAATCAAAACTAAGTACCTTGCATTAGCCAGAAGCAGTGGAAGCAAAGCCCTTGTGAGGGGCAGCAGTACACAGACTGTAACCTGACTCACCAAGCTGCTTATTGAAACACTTTTCAGCAATGCCTTGAGCTTAACTGCAACGGCATGTAACACCTCTTGGTGACAGCCAATGAATCTGAGGGAGTGGAAGTAATTTAAAAACTGCTATCCAAATTGTTCTGCCCTCTCACAACCTCATGGAAGTCAGCAAAACTTTAGTGTAGGATGGAGCAAGTGTCAAGTCCTCGGCTTCCACAGTTCACAGCTAACAGTTATCTTAAACCACTACTCTGTTGCTCCCCTACATACCACCTTTCTTAACCAACTGATCTTACTGTTAACCCCAAATAACAATAATTCTGTTGAATGAGAAGACCAAATATTTAAGTTCTCTCCTGAGATGTGTCAAACCGCTGTTTCCATAAAGAGCTACTCAACACCAAGCTATTTAACTGACCATGGTAAAGTCATCTATATTTTTCTCTTGGGAAAAGTGAACTGAGTTTTTCAGCATTGCACTGAAAACTTATTTTTTAACCATCAGAATATTTTTGTTATTCTATTGTGAAGCATACATGTCTTCTGCATTTCTCATGGAAACTCAGAGTGTTATCTCAAGGGCAGAACAACTGCGACTTCCCCTCTTGCACTTTTTCACTCAGAGCTACCTTCAGTGACTGCAGAGATTCGGAATTCGTATCACAGTAGAGGATAATGTTGTTAGCCATACTGAAGCTCTCTCTGACTCCCAGGTGGTAGAAGAGGGAAGGCTGACGAAAGGCATCACTCATCTCTACAACAGCAATATCTGTAGAAAGAAATGAAAAATGGTCAATGCCACACATTTCTGACAGCCACATATTTCTGTGCCATTTCTTTCCATTTACTTCAACTACCATCAAAGCGTTTGCTTTGGTAAGAATAGATTATAAGTAGGAAACAGAACTATAGAGGGTTTTCCCCATTTCAGTTATGCCTGAATTTTGACTATAGTCAGCAGGATGTGGTTTAATTTTTTTCTTTCTGTTCTTTCCTTCTTCACCTTCCTCCCCACCCATTCTCTCCTCTAAAAGAGACCTTAATTGCCCCAGGTAAAAAGTGGTGAAACATCACTGATCATAAAAAGGCAAACAGTTTATTTGGTGAGATGGAAAACAAAATTTGTTTAGTTAATCTCTATAAGATGAATGAGGACCTCATAGGAAAAAAAAATAATTGTATTTGATTTATATTTTCACCCTCTATGCAAGCTACAATAAAAATTGATTTAATTAAGTACACAACTGCATAATCAAGAACCTTATCACAGAGTCCTGTTCACAGCAGATTTGACCTGCATGAACAAAAATAACCTCATGCACAAATGCCTACAAAACAGAGCACGCAGTCTTCTGCAATGTCTCTTAAAATGCACATTTCATTTTCCCAGAGTCACAAAGTAAAAGTAAAGCATGAGGCAACTACAACATATCAGCATACATAAATGAGGTCTCTTTTCCAGCAGGCAGAATATTTCCACTACAAAAGTTTTGTTGGATCAAGGGGGTAAACTAAGTAAAATGACTCATCTCCACCTCTCCTGCAAACACCCTTCTTCCTCTTGGGAGATATTCTTCATCCTATCCCATCTTTTGGATTGTTTAATTCAAAGAAATATAGTAATGTGGAAAAAAAAAAAAAAAAAAAGGAATAAAAAAGAAACATGGTTTTCATCATCTCCCTGCTTTCCCTTTCTGTGAACTCTTCTATAACAAAAGATAGGTTGCAAGACAAGCTCTGCAGACAAAAACCTTATTACCCTGATGTCCTTTCACTACGAATCAATTACATAGGTTGCTCCAAACGTAATGCCTCCTATTTATTCCCATGGAAACTACAACAGATGCCAAGAACACAATAACACTATCTGATAGAACAAATTCTAAAATCAAATACGAAATTATTTTCTTTAGATGCCTCATAATTTGTGTTCTAAGAAAACCTCCTCAATTCCACATAAATATCTGAAGCATGGATTCCTCCAAATCCATTTTATTGAAGTAGAAAAGAAAGCATATTACTAGAACTGCACATAGATTGATTTTTGTTAATTTTCAGAAATCGAAACATCACACAAGCCCAATAAGAATGAGAGCAATTTTACTAGACATTGCTTGGGTGGGCTTATTGAGGGTTGATTATTTATTCATATATTTTTAGGAAGTTGCCTAAGAGCAACTTGCTGCTGCAAGTTCTATTTTTAACTTATTCACATAAAAATCCAATCCTTGGAAACTGCAAGCTGATGGTACATTTCCGTTACCTTGAGCAGGAGAAAAACTTGTGCAATTTTCCATTACTTACTTCTCAAATCTTGCAAGATAACATGTTCCCACTAGAGTTGCGAAATTAACAGTGAAAGAGAAATATTACTTAACAAAGTGATAGGACCTGACCAAAAAAAGAACCCAGAAAATACTTGAGGAAACCTGCATTAAACTGGCATGTTCCCAAGACCATGAAGAAGGAAACACTTACATACAGACAGACACACACACATGCCAACAACAATAAAAACCAAACCAAAAACTATCATCCTTACTACTGTCAAGATGAGATGGACAAATCCACTTAATACATTTGTTAGAATAAATCAGACTTCCCACCACGTTGTAAGACATGTTTGTGGATCCTGCCCTATTCCTCAAATCAGACTAAAACACAAAACAAAAAAACCCTGAGGCTTGGGCTACTCAAAGAACAGAGAAGCACCACAACGTCCAGTAAACATTTGTAAGAAATATGACACTAAAATGCTGGTATAAAGTGTTGTGAGTGTTGTGATTATTATTATTATTGTTAGTAGTAGTATTTAATGCAACAAGGGCTTGTTTTGTTTCTATTTTAAGACTTCTGTGAAATACAGGCCTTTCAGATAACCTTGTGCAATAGAGAATTAATTTTTTTTTCCACAAGGAAAGCTTCAACATCTGTGTAGTGTTCCTCCTCACAGTAGTGCATATTTTAAGATGAAGCTGATATTTATTACAAAGAGATCAGATTTCCAAAGTCTGTACTAGTCCTCTGGGGCTGATACCACTGTTGTCAACGGGAACAACCCAACTCATACTTGGAATTCCAACAAACCACAAGAAGCACATGTGCTTTTATGATCAGGTGTCTATCACACTGAAAACAAGAAAAAACCTCTATACTCTAAGTAAACTGCAACCCATTTTTTATTATCTTCCTTCAAAACAGCTCTGACCAAAGGAGGAAGCAAAGTATGGAGCATTGGCCAGAAGCTCAGAAGTCAAACGCAGAGCAGCAAGCAGAAGCTCATCTTCTGGGTGAAATTCAGCTGTTTTGTCCATCTTTACCTACATTTTTCTATCTCTACTTCTTGCCTGCAAAGCAAGGGTAGTGGTAATGACTCCTATAAGGTGCCTGGAACATATTATCAAGTACACCTAAGGCAAAAAATAAACACCATATTGAGTTACATAAAGTATGATTAGAAGCTTATAGGAGCTGAGCAAGACTAACATTTTCCATGACAAATCTAGCTCAAGTAAGTATCCATAAAAATTCTCACCAGTTCAGATGAGCCAGGGTTTAACTTAGCATGAGACGACTGTTTGGTCATCAATATACAAACTGCTAGAACCCTACTTAGCAGTCTCTCACTTCCACCAGATTAGACTAATCTAAAACTGTGCTGCAGTAAAAGGCACACACAATTCCACAAGTAACAAAAAAGCATTTTGATACAAGGTGGAAGCAACATTTCCACAATAAGAGCGGAAAAACAAACCCACCCAAAGCATTTGCAGTTTCAGTTTCAAGGCAAATTAAAAAAAAAATAAAATAAAATTGACCAAGAGCTCCAATCAGAGTAGAGCCCTCTTAACACCTAAGCCCCAATGTACCTCTGAAGGCCAAGGGCTGACAGTTCACTCCAAATACTTTCACATATCTATGTTCCAGAAAAAGAAGTCTGTTCAGACTGAGATTCACAGGCTAGCGAGCAGATTGGGTATGGATGCATGCTGTACAAAATAGGAGCAAGAGACAGGGAAGCGGAAGCACTGAAACTCTTGTAGCCACACAGGAATGAATAAATTTTAGCCCTTGCTTACATCTTGCACGTAAGATTAAATGTTACTCTTAACTAATAAATGCAAGAGACTTGTTTACAGACCACAGATACACCAGTGCTATTTAAAGAAAACAGGGACAGGATGCTCTTTTTTACTAGTTACCTTAGACATCTATAGATACAGAGCCTCATAATAAATCTTACAGCAAATTATCGTGCCTTGCTAGCTCTGAACATTAAAGAAAGTCTAGTCGCAGCCTTCTCTCTCACCACTTTAAGCAACTGCCATGCCTATAGTCATAGTCTGGAGCATAAACACGTGCATAAGAAGCGTAGCTCTGGCTGAGACACAGAAGTGGCGTAACTGCAGCAGCATGCAGCTCAGTGAGCTCTTGATGTCCACACCACAAGTTTTACCTGACCATAACCAAGCTGTCTGTAATGAAGCTGCTGCGTACAAATAAGCCAGGATAACCACACTGAGCTGTGGACATAACTACAACCACCAAGCAGTCCTACCTCAAATTACTAGGCTAATTGATGTCTATACTAAAAACAGCTCAAAATACAGTCACACAACACATTCAAAAAACCAAAATGCTACTGCACAGGGAGTCTGCTTGTAATTAATCTCAGAAAGCAGACTTGTATGACAGAATTAGAGGCAATCAGCTTGACTCTTTCTGCCCAAGATACAGCAGAAGCTCAAGGACTCATCTCTGTGAAGGCTGGCATATATTACAACAGTGTAACAAACATTTCTTACCTGCAGTGTGGATCCACTTACATCTTTTTATACTACATGTAAAAAGATCATGAACTTCATACATAGCATCTCTACTAATTACACTTTCTTAGCATATTGCAAGAACTTAAGATCATATATGGTAATGTGGTCAAGAAGGGGAAATGTCCATTTAAGGTATATAAAGCCTTTTTGTCTTGGTTATTACCAATGCCTTTAGTCACTAAGAAATGCAGTGGCCAAAGTTCAACTCCTGCTTATTGTTTAAAATATAACAGGGTAAAGAAGAATGTTTAAACAAACACTCCAAGATATTATACACGTACACCCTACTATTTGATACTGCCTGCTGACAACAGTGCTGCCAGGAAGAACAATGAATACAAACAGTTATAAAATCAGTTATAAAATTGATGAATGTTTATGTTTGCTATTATCTTCTGATTAATTGGTGCACAGTTGTTGCTTCATATTCATTGTCCCATAGTTAATCAGGACAAAATAAGAACTAATTACTATCAGCAAATTCTGGGATAGACCAATATTTATGGTTCCTTTCCTCTTGGAGGTTAAAACTCTTTCAACAGAGGCACAAAAACAGACCAAATTTATTTGAACAGAAGTTTGAATGCCAATTGTTTTTCATATTGTGATGATAACAGTGGTTTCAATAAATCACGATGGTATTCCCTATTGGGTGAACTTTCAGAAACGAGCAAATGGAAGACATCCTCACCACCTCCCTTATGGTTCTCTGTCTTTGACATAGATACTTATGCCCCACCAAGAGAATGCCTTCTTCAGTTAGGAAGTCTGTTTTGGAAATCACAATACCACATCAGTGCAGCTCAGTAGATCTGGTTCTGGTGTGTAAACCATAGCATCACTGATTTGTCACCATCAGTGGAAACAGGCATAACTTGTCAGGAGCATCTCATGCATTTCCAGGACCGGAAGCTGCTGATGGGAGTCACTCACATGAGGA